CAACTGATAATGTGCTAAGCAAAGGGAATAGTGGCTTTTAGTTTAGGGAGAGGTTATTCTCAGCGGAGAACCAGAGACTTGATGGCTGAGGTGGCACTTAAATGCACTCCTAAAGGGTGGGTGTGTGTTGAATGCAGTGAGTGAGAAAAAAGGTATATGCTAAGAAGAGAACAGAGTAACTACCGTGTCAGTGGCAAGATAACATAGGCCTGTCTCGGAGAGTCCAGGAACTAAAAATGTCTCCCAGACGGTGCTGGGAAGTTGGCTTGGGTTAAGATTCCTTTGCAGACAGCGGTTTGAATATGCTGTTTCAGACTTGATCCTCTTGGCAGTGGGTGACAGGACACAGTAACACCGTGAGCAAGGGGCAGAGCGGCCTCTGGGAGTGACATAGGATGTTTAATTCAGCAGCAGAGTAGATCACGGATGTCAGTAGGGAGAAAATGCAGGATATCAGTGAGAAACTTATTGACGTCATCCTAAAGAAAGGCAAAAAGACCTGAACACTGAGAGTGTGTTGGAAACTGAAGAAAATTATGGGCGTAAGAGATTGTGAAAATGATATTAACATGACTCATGTTGGAAACGGAGTGATACTTGAGAGATAGGGAAGGACATATTGGGAAGACATTTTTCAGATAGAAATTCGTAATTTTCCTTGCTCTCAGGGAAGACATGCTTCCCCGGGTGAGCTTTGGTGTAAACCAAGTTTGGAAAGCAAGAAAGAAGCTAGGTCCCAGAGAAGAGAACAGTCTGCAGAGAAGTAGGAAAGCTCGTCAGACGGCACAAAGGGCCGTGGTCAGGGGAGAAAGGGCATGCCCTCTAGGGTCTTTTCTGCTATAAGCGGGAAGAAACCCCAATTGCCCTGAGGCTATCTGCGCAAGTTTCTTTCCGAAATCTATTCAGTTATCTAGCTGCTAGATTCTAGCATAACATTCACTAAGTGCACACTAAGCAGGGTGAGTGAAGATATTCCAAGATTGCTAAGTAATACTCAAAGGTCCATCTAACTTTCAAAAGCAATGGTCTTAAAAAAGGGTATAAAATCACTTGGGGGTATTTTTCAGAAAAGATGTTTCTAGGAGTTATCTCTATAGACATCGTCACAATTGATCTGGGGTGGGGGGCAGGCAAAAATAGTTTACAAAATTTCTGTGGGTACTTAAAACTCCCTCCCTTGATTAAGAATGTGACAGTGCAGCCTGGCCAGTGTGGCTCAGTGGTTGAGCATCAACCTATGAACCAGGAGGTCATAGGTCAGGGCACACACCCTGGTCAGGACACATGCCCTTGTTGTAGGCCCAATCCCCAGTGTGGGACATGCAGGAGGCAGCCAATCAATGATTCTCTATCAACATTGATGTTTCTCTCTCTCTCTCTCTCTCTCTCTCTCTCTCTCTCTCTCTCTCTCTCCCTCTTCCTTCCTCTCTGATATTAATAAAAATATATTTTAAAAATATGTGACAATGTGCTTAAAAAAAGACAAGTTCTTCTTTCAGGCTCACACGCACACACATGCATACACAGTGAAAGAGTAGTCCCTTTGATGTGAACATGACCACATACACCCAACACATGGCTCTTTAAAGAGCCAATTAAGACCAGAGGCTCTGTAGTCATATTTCTGTGATTAGAGTCTAATTTTGCCACTTTTTAGATGTCTGGCCTAGAACAAGTTTCTTAACATTTCCATCCCTCCATTTTCTCAACTAAAAAATATAAAATGATAGCAGCAGCTATTTATAGGGCTTTTTTTAGTGAAGATTAATATAAAGTCTTTAGATGTGAGCCTGCCGTACATGAGGCACTCAATCTAACCACCTGTTATTATTTAGAGTTTCTAGACAGCATCACTGTGGGCTGCATGTTTGTTGCCTAGCTGATGTTGGAAGAAGCCAGAGCCAGTGATGTCCAGCCTCTTATATGTCACTAGAGGCCTGGTGCATAAAAATTCATGCACTGGAGGAGGGGTCCCTCAGCTCGGCTGCCCCCTCTCACAGTCCGGGAGCCCTCAGGGGTGGGAGGCAACCCATTGATCAGGGGAAGGTGACATCCCTATCACACCTCTGCTGTTGCCACTGCCAGCAGCACAAGCCTGGTTATCTGAGCCTCGGGCTGCTGGGCAGTCGCCATCTGAGACTTGCCTGTGCCTCGGCCAGCCCTGCTTGCCTGAGCCTCAGTCAGTGGGGGGTTGCAGGAGGACCTGAGGCCCCTGGCAGGGTTGAGATGACTGGTCACCACCATCATGTGGCTGTGGACATGGCCATCTTGTGAGGGCATGATGGTCAATTAGCATATTCCCTCTTTATTATATAGGATAATATAACCAGACAAAGAAGAGTGAAGTGTGGTTACCTGGCACAGTGTCTGACTGAAGAAGATAGAAATATGGACCTAGAGTCAGTGACTTGAGAGGATTAAGTACTGGGAAATGGTCAAGTTCCAGAAAACAAAAACGAGATGGTTCCCAGGCAAATGTTTTACATCAAACAGGTTCATACCAAGCAAAAGGCATTGTTCTCTTAAGAGTGGAAGAATTTTGAAGTCCCAACCAAGCAATAGGAATCATGAAAGACAGTCACAGATATAACCATATGGCTGGGGCTCAGAGGCTGGCTCCAAGCTATGGGTTGCATAGAAGATAATTAGTAAGAATAGTCAGGGATTCCATTTTATGGTAAGTAAATAGAAGGTCAAGAAAAGATGAGTATAAATTATAAGGAACTTAACACTGAAGTGAAGAGGTAAATTTGATCCAACTTCCAATTGTTGTAATATTATAAGTTGGATATTTATAAATTATGTATGCTGATTCCAATATTACCATTTTTTGCTTGGGTGCACAGGTGGCCAAAATTAATTTCAGAAGAAGCTATGTTAACTCTGACAGTGCCATCTTCTTAGGGCATTTTGTTGATTCTTTGGATAAATATTAACTTCTCTAGCCTTTATAGTACTCACTCTCCTTTATAAGATGGTGCTAATGGTCCCTTGTCTAAAAGAACATTTCTTGACCCATCATTTGTCTAATAATCTGGTTTGGGCCTTGGCAGGTGTTGGGAGGGGAATGGAACCTGCTCACCTTTGACTTTGGTTATTACAAGCACACTTTTTAAAAAATATTCTCCATACTTGGTAAGTGTGACATTAAATAATACTGATTTTGATGGGTCATTAGGTTCTGCTTCTTTTTAACTGTAACTATTTTTGGTAACTAATAATCAGGCAATTTAGACATTTAAGAACAGTTTTGCCATATACATATTCTATAGAGGCCTATGTTATATTCTACTAGAGGCCTGGTGCATGAAAATTCATGCACTGAAGGAGGGGTCCTTCAGCCCGGCCCTCTCACAGTCCAGGAGCCGTCAGGGGCAGGAGGTGATTTGGCAATCAGGGGAAGACAACGCCCCCATTCACACCTCTGCTACTGCCATTGCTGGCAGTGTAAGTTTCAGCTGGCCCTGGTTATCTGAGCCTTGGAAGGCCCTGGGCAGCTAGGCAGCTGCCATCCAAGGCTTGCCTGCTCCTCAGGCTTTGGCTGGGCAGCTTCCATCAAAGGCTTGCCTGTGCCTCAGGCTGGCCCTATGTGGCTGGGGGACTGAGGGAAGGTCTGGCCACACCATGTGCCTGCCACCCCCCCTTGGTGGGGCTGAAAGACTGGGGGACTCTGGCAGAGCTGAGGGGACTTGGCACAGTCATCTTGTCTCTATGGGGCCTCCATCTTTGTGACAATGTGACAGTCAATTTGAATATTCCCTGTTTATTAGATAGGATAGTATCCAAATGTTTAAACAAAAGTCAGTAACACTTCTCCCAAAAAGATGTACAAATGGCCAACATAAATATAAAAAGACGCTCAACTTCACTAGCTATTAGGAGAATGCAAATGAAAATGGCAATTAGATACCATCTTCCACCTGTTATCAATCAGGCAAATAATAACAAATGTTGGAGAGGTTGTGAAGAAAAGAAAAATATACTCATTCACTACAGATGGGAATGTAAATTGGTACAGCCACTATGGAAAACAGTATAGAGGCTCCTCAAAAAATTAAGAATATAGTTACCATATGATCCAGCAATTCCTCTTCTGGGTATCTACCCCCAAAATTTGAAAACATTTATTCACAAAGATATATGCACCCCTATGTTCACTGCAGCATGATTCATGGTGGCCAAGACACAGAAACCACTGCAGTGTCCTTCGCTAGATGACTGAATAAAGAAAGGTGGTACATATACCCACACCCAGAGCAACAGGCCAGTGAGAGACACCTGCATACCATCTGGTTTTGAAGATCAGCACAGATTCTTTCCACCAGAGAGAGAAGAAGATCTGCCAGAGACACAGCTGCCTCCTTAAAGGGTCACACACAAAATCTCATTCATAGCACTCACCCTAGGCTCTGGAGGGAGGGCAGAGTGGATTAGAATCATGTGAGGAGAGACTAGGGTTGGTGGCTCTAGGGAATACTATGCAGTAGTAAAACAGAAGGATCTCTTACCCTTTGAGACTGCATGGAAGGACCTGGAGAGTATCATGCTAAGTGAAATAAGTCAGTCAGAGAAAAAGGTAAGTGCCACATGATCTCACTTATATGTGGAATCTAATGAACAAAATAAACTGATAAACAAAATAGATCCAGACACATAGAAGCATGGAACAAACTGAAGAGTCTCAGAAGGAAGACAGGGGTAGGAGGGTAGGTGGAGAGAGATTAACCTGGGAACTTATGTGAATATATGCTTAGCCCATGGACACAGACAATAGTGTAGTAAAGGCCTGGGAGGGGCGAGTGCAGTGTGGAGGGTGTCAATGGGGAAGAAAGGGGCACATCTGCAATTCTTTCAACAATAAAGATGCATTTAAAAAAGATACAGAAAAAAGAAATGAAAAAAACATGAAAATGAAACAAAAACTCATAGATACAGACAACAGTATTGTGGTTACCAGAAGGAAGTGGGAGGGAATTTATAAAATGTAAAAGGGGTCAATGTTTGGTGATGCAAGAAGATTTTACTTTGGGCAGTGGGCTTACAATGCAATATACAAATGTTGTCTCATAGAATCGCATACTTGAAATTTATACAATTTTATTAACCAATGTCACCTTAATAAATTTAATTTTTTTTATTTATTTTTTTTTTTTAGAAAAGAGAGAACTTGACACCCATCAGTTGGTTTAATTAGTTTCATGCAAAATAAGCCCCTGGTCTCCTCTTCTCCAACTCTACTAATGCCTTATATCTCCCAAGGTTGTTTCTCTTTTGGGTCCTACAATAAATGTAATACACACACTACTATCTTTCTACCCTCTGTGTTCACCTCTTTCATTCTCCAATAATTCCATAACTAAGATTTTATATGATCTAGTATGAGTCGCTTATCAGTTGCCAAAGAAGGAACTGGTGAAGCCAACATAATCATAGCCAGCAGGGTGGCTCCGGCCCCGTGGGTCCACGTATTGCTGCATATGTGAGGCACAGAAGGACACTTGTTCTGGTGTTAGAGCCTGAAACATAAGAGGAAAAGGATGCAGTAATAAGAATTCAAAATAGCTGGTTCCTTGGGATTCCAATATTCCCCAAACTCAGCAAGTGGAGGAACTTTAGAAGAAAAAGCCAGCACTGTTCACATCACATATGAACATTAATTCATAATTCCAAATGAATAAAACCAACAATCTCTTCAAGTCAGCTGTTACCTGAAGAGTTCCATGTCACTTTGACTATGCTTCTTATCCCATTCCCTAAATTTGGCTTATTAAATAAATGGGATAAAAAGAATTCTTGAAAACGAGTTTCAGATTTGAGCTTGACCCTGATAGTCATTAGAGATTGACTCTGCATGTTGATCACAACATGAAATGGTGACCAAAGCAGATGATAGCTAGAGAAAAACGAAGAGGTGGGGGCTAGTAGGCAAGTAGGCCTGAGATGAGCAAAATCTAGATTGTTATGAGAGCATAATGAGGGAAGGTGCCATTGGAATCGTACCTGCTTCATGTCTTCTTTGGTAATATAGTTCTTGCCCTCTGCCAAAGCTTGGAAAGCATTCTCAATTTCATCGCTGGTCTTGATGTTCTCTGATTCCTTGTCAATCAGGAATGAGGTATATTCTTCCAGTGAGACATAGCCCTTCCTGTCGGATAAAAGGATCAGGAACTGTGCCCTCTCAACACAGAGAAGAAACAGGTCCGATCTCATTATACTTGGTGTCACAGAGACAGAGGGAAGCTGGATTTTCCAAGCGCCTCTTCCAACTCAGCTCTCTAAGACCACGACCTATTTGATCCTCATTCTCCTCCCCTTACAGCCAAATAAACAGTTTCCCAAGATCCAGCCTCTGTTTCCACATGGGCCTGACACACTATACAGAATTTCAGAATTTCCCATCAGCACCAGTACCCTGTATCTGTACCTCAAGCTCTTCAAGTTGATTTGAGGAACTCTATTTCTGGTCTTCTTTGGGTTTGGTATTAGAAAGAATCAGTCCCTAACCATAATGTGGTGCCTCTATGATTCTACACCACCCTCACAAGCGTACAACACCCCCACTCCCACGTGTTACTGATCCTCTCCTAAGACATTATACACATGAAGGGACTCTTCTGTCAAGTTCCATTCTCAGAACTAATGGAAATTCATGTCAAACATAAAGCAGGCATTAATCAAATTGCAGGACTGGTGCCTGAGTTGCAGTTAGTGCCATGAACTTCTGAGCTAATCCTGGAAGGGCCCCCAAAGCTGCCCCGTTCACGTATTGTCTCTGCCTCTGTCACTCCTATTCTCAAGATGAGTTAATGCCTATGGATTATTTTACTCTTGGTGCTCGTCCTGCAAAGCCCCAGTCCCTGGTATGGTCTGGCCTTGGTCTTCCTCCTACCTCCCTGGATCGACGACATCCAGGAATTTCTCGAACTTGGGCTCAGGTTCACCCTCCTCCACCATGGGCAAGTAGTAATTGAGTCCTCTCAGGCAGGACCGGAAATCTTTGTGACTCAAGCGCCCTGTCAAATTCTCATCAAAGTGTCTATAGAATAAAAACATTTTATCAAGTTCAGTAGAGAGGCATATTAACAACAGAAAAGAACAGTTTTGTTGCATCAGCTGGGCCTTTATTAACATGGCATAATCTTTTTACAAATATATTTTTATTGATTTCAGAGAGGAAGGGAGAGGGAGAGAGAGAGATAGAAACATCAGTAATGAGAGAGAATCATTGATTAGCTGCCTCCTGCATGCCCCACACTGGGGATCAAGCCTACAACCAGGGCATATGCCCTGACCAGGAATCAAACTGTGACCTCCTGGTTCATAGGTCACATGACGTTCGAACACTGAGCCACGCTGGCCAGGCAACATAGCATAATCTTATCAAAGAAATGAGTGGACAGCTTGCCTGTGTTTCTACACTTTTTTTAAACCTAATGGTTGGAGAAAAAGGATAAAATGTTGAACATAAAAAAGGTATTTCTAAAATATAGAAATTTCAGAGACATATTATAAACTACAACTTAAAGCTAAATGATATATCTAGATCAGTGATGGTGAACCTATGACACGCGTGTCAGAGGAGACACGCGAACTCATTTTTTTGGTTGATTTTTCTTTGTTAAATGGCATTTAGATATATAAAATAAATATCAAAAGTATAAATCTTGTTTTACTATGGTTGCAAACATCAAAAAATTTCTATATGTGACACGGCACCAGAGTTAAGTTAGGGTTTTTCAAAATGCTGACACGCCGAGCTCAAGGTTCGCCATCACTGATCTAGATCTTTATTTAAAATCCTAATAAGCCACATTGAAGGGAAAAATGTATTTGAGATTTACTTTGAATGGTCTGAAAAACAGAACCAATCAATTATAAAGTTACTAGAGGCCTGGTGCATGAAATCGTACACTTGGGGGAAGGGAGGTCCCTCAGCTCAGATTGCAAGAGGACACAGGCCAGGCCAAGGGACCCCCACCAGTGCATGATCAGGGCTGGGGAGGGACGCAGGAGGATGGCCAGCCAGGGAGGGGTCATGGGAGGGCTCCAGGGCATGTCTGGCCTGTCTTGCTCAGTCCTGATTATCCGGACCCCAGCAGCAAGCTCACCTACTGGTCGGAGTATCTTCCTCCTGGTGCTCAGTGCACATCATAGCAAGTGGTTGAGTGGCCTTAGCATATCATTAACATATTACACTTTGATTGGTTAAATGGCAAACTGGACGACTGGACACTTAGCATATTAGGCTTTTATTATATAGGATACTCACTTATAGGTTGTGCTAAACTCCTTCAGTGTCTCTTCACTCACACCTATAGTATCTCTGAAAGAAAAAAAAACTTAATTACCTCATGAAACAAAACAGAGAAAAGCAGAAGCTATGTCACATGAAATAGAAATTTTAGTGACTGTTTCACTATTTGGGTCATCTACTTTAGGGCCAAATCCAGTCTGTCACTTGCTTTTGTACAGTCAATGAGCTAAGAATGTTTTTTATATTTTTAAATTGAAATTGGTTAATCAGTTTATATAGATTTCAAGTGTACGATTCTATAATCTGTGTATTGCATTGTGTGAAACCATGTTCATTGCAGCATTATTCATGGTTTTTATATTTTTACATGGTTGAAATAATAAAAAAAGAATAATGCTTTGTTAAGCACACATTAATTTTAAATGTCCATAAATAATATTTTATTGGAATTGGTCCATGCTCATCCATTTATGAATTATCAATAGCTGGTTTCTCTCCACAATAGCAGAGTTTAGTAGTCACAACTGAGACTATATGAGTCACAAAATTTAATTTTTAAAATTGATGAGAGAGAGAGAGAGAGAGAGAGAGAGGGGGGGGGGGGAGACTTATTTGTACATTCGTTGGTTGATACTTGTAAGTGTCCTGGCTGGGGATTGAACCCATCAACTTGTTGTATCAGGACAGTGCTCAAACAAAATAAGCTACCCAGCCCGGGGCTGGCACACAGAGTTTCAAATGTTTATTATCAAGCTCTTTAAAGAAATCTCTGATTTAGATACTAACACTGCCAAAAAAGCTACGGAAACCTAAAGCTTCTTTAAGACAATTAATTTTTTTAGGGAAAAAAATGAATTCTGCTTTTCTGCTCCATATCTTGACTATCTCTTGCATTTTAGACATTTTAGAGAAAAATTTACAAAGGGGAATGTTCTCTGAAGAGATTACATAAGATGGTGAAGGAATTCGAGAATTGGCAGACGGGTATTTTTAGGACAATGAGAGCACTGTTTCCTATTGCATAATAGAATAAAGAGAAACCGTCGTTCTGTGGGGCAGTAAAGAGAATATTGTTTCTGAATACAGTGAGTGTACTAGCTCTTAAGGAGTACTTTTAACCAGTACCCCAAATTCTAGCCCTTGGAGTTAACTACCTAAAACTAGTATCATCCACACCCTTCCCTAGCCCTGCTCATAGATTCCCAGTACTTGGCTTGGATCTGTTGTTCCAGGTTGTGTTGCATTCTCATCCCAAGCTGATGGAGCTGGTCCCACTGCTGCGCCAAGCCAATGGTGCTGTATTTGATGTCCAGAACCAGAGCCTCTTCTAGGTTGTCTCCCAGATCCTCAATCTTGGTCAGCTGGCGCTTCATCAGCTGGATCTCCTTCTGCTTCCTCTGGAAAAGGAGAAGAGAGAGAGTCACCCAGGGCACCACTCCTAGGGAGGGGAGTGAAAGTAAGAAATGGATGAGTTTCCTCTAATTGCTTCCATTCAGTTATTTTCAGGGATATTCCTGTCCCCCATGATAAATAAACTATTCAGAAAAACTATTGGTATCTTGATAGGAATTGCATTGAATCTGCAGATTGTTTTGGGTAATATGGATGTTTTAATGATGTTATTTCTTCAAATCCATGAACTTGGTAGATGCTGGGATTCCCTTTGCTCCTCAGTAGGGACTTCTGAAGCTGAGATATCCCACCAGATTCTCAACCGGCACACCTGGCTGTGGATCCAGCCTGCTTTAATTCTTCCCCTCTTCCTATCATCTGGATGGTGGCTTCTTCTTTGTATGCTTAGTAATAACACCTCTGTTCGGCTAGTATTCAAATGGTTCTGCGGGTTTATTATGCTATAATTTAATTGTAGTTTTGATGTGGTCATGGCAGGAGGCCAGCACACCAATTACCTACTCACCTTCTTGACCAGAACAAGAACTCCCTATCTGACAATGTCTTATTCTTTAGTATTTAACTTCTCTCATTAGGAAGAAATAAAATGTAACTAGTTAAAATTTTCTCCTTAGGGGGTCAATAATGAAATAAGGGTAAGAAACACAGTGGTAGCCCAGTGCTTCACCCAATTGTTAAGAGATCGTCTAGATTCAATTGTATTATCAAATTATTGTCATTATCAAATTACAAAATTGTCAGTGTTTCTAGGTGTAAGCTAGCAGCCTTGCACCTTTTCCTCTTAATCAATAACAGTAACTCTATCATAGAAATATCATTAACATTATTACATAGATACAGAAATTACAGTTTAGAGAGTTCAGGAAACATGTCCATAAAGTGGTGGCCAATGGTTAGAATAACATTTTGGCAGAGTTGGCACCAGAGCCATAGGCTCTTGACTTTCAGGCCAGGAAATTTACATAAAAGTGTTTATTTAAGAGTTTCCTTTAAGTACTCCTTATAATTCTGGAAATACCTTGACCTAATGAATAAACATTACTTACTTTATTTGCTTCCAATTGGGATTCCAGAGTTCCTGTTTCTTTGAGCAAAGATCTAGTTCAGAACCAGATAAAAAGTTACTTATAATATCAGAGGTCCATATTTCACAAAGACAGACAAACTCAGAGCTCCTACATTTCTCTACTGCAACTTCTTCCAAGTCACTTGGCCTCTCTAAAATAAATTTACACAACACCAAATTTTCATGAAACCAACCCTTCTGTCCATTGGCCACCTTGCCAGACATATGAGAAGGAACTCAGGCCCCTTCTAGCTCTTCTCTGCCTATGAGAAGGATTCCAGGTCTTTCTCCTAGTTCTTATTCTCAAACACACTCTTAACTTAATGTCAGCAAGACTCCACCTAACGGGGTATTGAGCCAGAATAATATATGTACTGTGCTTCTCCTTCTCACCCCACATTTTTATTGAGGCATCATCAGATTGAGATGAGATGAGATGAGATGCCCCAGTAGTAAGGTCTCCTTGTTTAATCATTCCCGAATGTGATAACAAGACAAACATGGTAACATAAAATACTGACCCATCCAGAAAATAAGCCCTGGGCATGAAGGTCCGGAACAGGAATCAGAAGAAAGAAAGGGAAATCATATGTTAATATGGATTACTTTAACGATCTTTTTCACTTCAGATTTATAAAACATTCTAAATTCTTTTGTAGCCCAAAACATATGCACATGTTCCATCCACTGTTTCCAAAGTAGCTTTCACACCAGGAAGCTAAGAGCCTTCCATGCAGCTACTTGCTGTAGTAGAGAGAGCTCAGGGGGTCAGGTGACGTGCTCAGTGTTGGGCACGTGATGCCGGAGGAGGAGGGACCAAAACCAAAGGAAGAGAAGGAAGAGCGATGTTGCTTGTGCCTTCTCTCAGGTGTTTTTGGCCATGAGACTGACTTTGCTTTTGTTAACTGTGTGATTTATTCTTGTCAGTGGTGTGTAGAAACAGTCGGTATCATGGATTGTCCAAACCACTTCTTTAACTCTCAAAATTCCACAAATCTGACCCAATTACTGAATAGTCTACCAATTTAGACCATTTATTCTAATGTATATTACACCTTCCAAATCTCCTCTTTTTCAAGGTCATTTGCCCCAGAAGATGTGGCAAATGTTATTTTCACATATAGGACACTTTGGATTCAATCAAAGCCATTAGCATATACTATCTCATTTGATTCTCATCACAGCTTTAGTCAGGCAACATAAGAGCTTCATACTAGATGTTTACAATGTGCTCTACTCCTGCTTTGTCAATAAATACACATGTGACCACGAGCCCATCAATGCATCTACTAAACTTCTTTCCACACAGAGGTAATAAGGTCTTTTCTGTATACTTTTCCAGTGTGCTCTAAAAGTTAAGTGAGTTACTGGATAGAGAAGTACTTTGTAAAATGCAAAGATAATTTCAACATTAAAATGTTTAAGTAAGAAAGAACTGCTAATATTTTTGAACTGTAATTATAGACAACAGGGAAAAAATGAGAATATCCAGAAGAGAATATTGAAGGGTACACAATGGGTAGAAGGCTGGAACTCTCATTTCTCGGTTTTGCAAGGATTGATTCAGAAAGTAACCAATTACCAATAGAAAGCACTTGATAATTTAGGACAGCATAAACGCTGTAGAAGTCTCTCCTCCTCCCTCCTTTATGAACTTTATCCTTGTGGGGAATGGAGTGTGTAGAATAAGGATCATAAATTTTGCGGAAACATAGCACACCTGGTTTCCAAGATCCACTGAAGGAAGGCACTGGCGTTCTGTTCAAACTCCTGGCACATCTCAAAGTTCTTGACCTGTCTTTCCTCTTCCTTTTGCAGCTCTTGCTCCCGTTCCTAGAAACCCAAATCACAGACAGCGAATTGCTCGTTGAAAACCTTTCTTTGCAGTAAAATAATTGGTTCCCAGGTTCAGCCATACATCTTAATTCTCCCAAATTTATATTCTGGAGGCATGTGCCTATGTGCTCACATTGCTTCCAGCCCACTTCTTCTCATCTTGAAAAGGTAAGGAAATTTATGTCACTTCCCATAAGTATTTGCAGATGTCTCAAAGGCAGAACTCAGTAAAAATAATAAAACAATGAAGGCAAATCTTTCTGCTTATTTTTTTCCAGGTGAAATTTCATTTAAATGAGCATAAAAACAGCCTTAAAGAGAAAGGTAGTTATAAGAGTTGCCATCTAAAATGCGTGATTTTATGGTAAAATTTTTCTTTGTTAAACTTTTAAATATTTTTCATAGCGTCTATAATGAACATCATTATAGACAGACAAAAGTTAAATTCAAACACTTTTAAAAGGCACTTTTGGAGGTGTGCATAAAGTAGAGAATGCTTTGGATGAAGGCATATAGAGACTTTAAAGATATCTGCAAGCCTCGTGAACTTTCTATAACTCATTTTCAGAGCCATGTCCTGGAGCTTGTGTTTGCTGCCTTAAATCATTGCTCAACACCCTGAAGCTTAAAACTGTTCAAACTACGTTACATAGGGCTATACTTATTTTGAATATATTTTCAAATATTTCTTAGACTATCCAATTTAAGGCTGCTTTCCCAATTAAAAATGTTCCTTCTTTCTCAGAGGTCCCCCAGCTTGGGTACTCCACTAAATTGTTATGGTCACTATAGCCAAAGGAGGTCCCTGCTGTGCCTCAGTCTACCTTGATGATGTCAGGTAGGTGGTTCCACATCCTTTCCAGCACCTCCATGGTTAACCAGGTGTAAGGGCTGGAGGGCACATTTAAGGACTTAATCTGCTGGTCTAGCTCTCGCAAATAGTTCAGATCTTCCTGGGCCTTGGCCAAGGAGGCCAAGAAAGCCTCGTGGTCCTTCTGCAGCTGGCGTATCTCATTCAGGGAGACACAGTGCACATTTTCTGACAGGTCCTCCTCAGCATTCTCACACCAGTGGTTGAAAGCTGAAGCCTTGTGTGCAAATTCCATGAATAGCTCCTCAGCCTACAGAGAGAAAAAAAGACACCTTCATCTTTCCCAATAGAAAGAGAAGAGAAAAAAGAGGAGAGAAGACTCAGAATAAAAAATAAAGAAGTAATTGCCTTCAATATTTTCAGGGCAAACCCTTTACAACGGCAGAACTAAAACCAATGGGAAACCAATGGACAGACATGTGAGTTAGAAATATAAGTCCTGATCCTGGCATCTCATTGTGAACTTGGTCAGGTTTTCTATCATCTACAAATGGGAAAGTTGAGTGATTTCTAGAGACATTTTAGCTCTAAGATTCCAAAAGTGACAAAGGTTGTTTTCAATGAGAAGATTTTATGATTTCTTATTCTGAAATCTGTTTCAATTCTATTTGGCACATAGTAGACATGCAAAAATAGATGTTAGATGAATGAATCATTCATGAAATAGGCAAATCTATCCTATCCTTTATCCACTTCCTCTTCCTTCTGATCGTCTATAGACCATACCTCTCGAATGTCTCTTTGAAGACTGAGTTCTTTTCCTAACATCCTTTTAAAACTTGTTCAGGGCTCACCTCATGCTTGCAGTTCCTATTTATTTTTATTTTTTAATATATTTTATTGCTTTCTTAAAGAGAGGAAGGGAGAGGGATAGAGAGTTAGAAACACTGATGAGAGAGAAACATCGATCAGCTGCCTCCTGCACACCCCTTATTGGAGATGTGCCCACAACCAAGGTACAAGCCCTTGACCAGAATCGAACCTGGGACCCTTAAGTCCGCAGGCCGACGCTCTATCCACTGAGCCAAACTGGTCAGGTCTTGCAGTTCCTGTTTAAATCGATTTCCTACACTCTAACCTTTATCCCTCCCCCTGCAATACACTCTGGAGTTATCTGTATGTTCTCAATGATTGAACTTCTGAATGAGAGCAATAACATGGATTGTTCCAAACAGTATGTCATCAAAATTTTTTTAGATTTAAAATCATCATAAATTTGAGGTCAGCAGATAGTATTTTCAGGGAGATTTGTTATGCAAATTTGTTTTCATCCCCAAACATAGGCATTAAAGAGGTTGTGCCCTATTATATTTGCCCTGTACTCATTTCTGCAATCTATATGCTAAAATAGATCAACACAGAGAAAACTCATATGAAGAATATAAAAACCTATGAAGTACTTCTTATTATTTTCAAAATAGTATGGATCAACTGAATATTTTACAAATATTTTACAATCAGAAAGTAAAATAATAGAATCAGATTGTGAAATATCTTTCATATCTCTCTCCATATATATATATGTATATATATGTATATATATTCCATTAATTGATTTATTCTTTTTTTCACTAAAATTAGGTCTCATGTCTTTCAATAGAGTAAAAATTAACTAAGGGTCCAGACTGACTATTTTTTTTCAAACTGACTGATTTTTATTTGTGTGTGTGTTTTCCAATTTCTCTAACTCCCTACCTTATATGGTATAATACTTGTTATGGCCTAGGAGTGCTCAGTAATTTACTGACTATCCAACTTCCTTTCATTATTGTTTTTTTATTATCAACATCTAATACCTTAGCAGCCACCATTAGAAAGGACATTTTAATCACTTATATCCATATAGAACTTAGTGGTTTATACTGAATTTTTCAGATCCATTATCCTTTTTAATAGTAATAACAGAGAACAGCAAGAGGTGGTGGTAATATTATCCTATTTCATAAATGGGAGAATCAAGGTTCAGAGATGTTAAGTGACATGTCAGAACACAATATGTACTTGTCTAGGTCTTGCATTTGAACTGGAGAAAAGCATAGGGATGACCATATCTCCTGCCTGCCAGCTGTAGGTCTGCTATACAGTAAGATCGTTTACCCTGTTGTGCCACCTACCTCTTCTATCACCTGTGCCGAGCTTTTGTCTCAAGTCACCTGGATAACTGACAAAAGTCTAAAAAAACCTCCCTAGCAATCTAAAGTCCAGAATGTCTTTCTGGTCCTTTCCAAAGTACACACTCAAATATATCCAAACAGGGTTTCCACTATTTGTTGGTAGATTCCATGGCTAATATATAATCAAGGTCTTATTGTGCCTCATCATCTTGTACCATTTACCTTCTGTAGGGGCAGCTGTTTCTCTAGCAATTTCTGCCTGTGAGCTTCACAGGCTTCCAACAGCTGTTCCCAGTGCCTCAGCAGGGCAGCGTGGCGCTCCTCGATGGCTTTGGATTGGCTGTGCTGAGCAGCCACCAGCTGGTCCTTTAGGTCAGTTATCTTACCCAGTCTCTCTTGTTGAAAGCTCTGCACACTGGCATCCAGTGTGTCCTGAGAAAGACCAGAGAGAAGCAGTGAGCAGAGAACGAATGCAGATTCCGAAGGGTCATTTACACCTGGGTTCCACCATATTTTTATCATGAACAAGGTAAGGACTAGAAAAGAGTTAGAATGATGACCAAGGAAAAGGAAATATGATTTAGAGACTTAAGTAAACATTTGGGATTGGGATTATGGCTAAATTCCGAAGTATGTTTTGAAATTAGATTTGAACTCACATTCTAAAACTCTTTTGTATCACTTATTAGATTTTGTGTTCTACTAGAGATCTTGGAAGTATGGAAATTAAAAAAAGACCTACAGATGCTATATTACACAAATGATATTTTTGGGAGATGTTGGTATCAGAATCACAAAATTAGGGATGTTCCACTTCCAGCTTTAATAGAGTAGCTTGTATTGGACCAATTCTCTCTTTGAGAACAGCTTTAACCGCTTGTAAAAAAAAAAAGTACAAAGTTGTTTGAAAAAGATCAGAATGCAGTTCAGGTGGCTGTAACTCAAGGATTAAAATCATGGAGAGGAGGGATTGGTAGTAGAGTAAGAGTAATATTCTCAGTTACTTTTGCTTTTGAAGTATACACTGAAAAGGGTAAGAGGGGAAAGCAGCTGATGAGAGCTTTAGACGGAGCTAAAATGACAAAAATTGGAGTTCGGGGGAACTGGGGCAGCCAGGATTGAGGAGCAATGAAGAGGGAACTGCAGTAAGAATCCAGAGGAAATGAAGAATGACATAGCTGCAATAAAGAACACAATGGATGGTTTCAACAGTAGACTAGGAGGACCAAATCAGTGACTTAGAAGACAAGGAAGGAAAAAAACAAACAAACACCCAAACAGAGCAGCAACTGGAAAAAAAAAAAAAAACTGAGCAAGGAATAGAAAACCTGTTTGAAGAAATAATTACAGAAAACTTCCCTGACTTTGGGAAGAAAAAAGTCACACAAGTCCAAGAAGCACACAGAATCCCAAACAAGATGAACCCAAAAAGACCGACACCAAGACACATCATCATTAAATTGGCAAACACCAACGACAAAGTAAGAATCTTAAAGGTTGCCAGAAAGAGACAGAAAGTTACCATTAAGGGATCTCCCATTAGACTATCAACTGATTTCTTAACAAACACATCAGGTCAGAAGGGAATTGAATGAAGTATACAAAGGACTGAAGTATACAAAGCAAAGGACTGAATCCAAGAATACTCTTTTTTGTTTTGTCTTTAAAAATTTTTTTAATTAAATTAAATCTTTATTGTTCAGATTAAAAATAAATAAATAAATAAATAAATAGGGAACTGCAGAAAAGTAGGTCCACTATTCCCACTGCATTTTCCTCTCAAGACATTTATAGACTCCTAAACTGTGGGACACAAGTCCTAGAAGCCAAGCAGAAAACAGCAGCTGTGATATAAAACGCTACATACAGTTCTCTGGAGTCACCCAGTGCTGATTTCAGGACACAGTAATCATGGGCAGCCCCAGCGAAAGAGAGTTAGTTGAGACCCCTGAAAGGTCCCAGGTGTAAAAGCAAACTGAAAAAGGATTAGTCCTCAGATAGATAGATAGATAGATAGATAGATAGATAGATAGATAAACAAAACTAAAAGTATGCTTTGAGCAATTTAATCCCTAGCTAAAAAGTAGGGGTAGGATGGGGAATGGGAGGTGTTAGATTACAATTTTAAGTAAAAACTTATCAATGAATTAGTTTAAATGTAAATGAACACACTACTCCAGTGATGGCAAACCTATGATACTCATTTTTTTGGTTGATTTTTCTTTGTTAAATGGCATTTAAATATATAAAATAAGTATCAAATAAATCTTTGTTTTACTATGGTTGCAAATATCAAAAAATTTCTATATGTGACATGGCACCAGAGTTAAGTTAGGGTTTTTCAGAATGCTGACATGCCGAGCTCAAAAGGTTCGCCATCACTGCACTATTCCAATAAAATGATAAAATTAGATAGACAAAGCCATACTCATTATATAAATCTATAAAATTTTAGAAAATTTAAAGGCACTCTGCATTTTTATGTTCACTGCAGCATTATTCACAATAGCTGAGATACAGAAACAACCTAAGTGTGCACCAACAGATAAGCAGGCAAAGAAGATGCAAGATAGCCCTGGCTAGGTGGCACAGGTGGTTGGAGCACTGTCCCATACATCAGTAAGGTTTTGAGTTCAATTCCTGGTCAGGGCACATACTTGGGTTGTGGTTCAATCCCCAACCAGGGCGTGTATGATAGTCAACTAATTGATGTTTCACATCGACGTTTCTCACTCTCTCTCTCCCTTCCTTTCTCTAAATCCATAAAACATATCTCAGGTGAGGATTTAGAAAAAGAAAATGTAATATAGAGAGGTAGATATATAGACACATACATATATACATACATGCATACATACATACAATGGAATATTATTCAGTCATGAGAAAGAAGGATGCCCTGCAATTTGCAACAACTTGGATGAAATTTGAGGGCATTGTGCTAAGTGAAATAAGTCAGAGAGAGACAAACACTGCATGATGTCACTTATATGTGAATCTCAAATAGTGGTTACCAAGAACTGGGGGCCGGGGAGGGGTGTAAAGGGTATAAACTTCCTTTTAACAAGTTTTGGGATCTAATATACAGCAAGGTTATTTGAGCAAATAATACTGTATTATATACTTGAAAGTTGTTACGAGAGTAAATATTAAATGTTCTTACTAAACACAAATGATAATTATGTGACAGAATGAAAGTATTATGTAGTTCAATGGTGGTAATCATTTTGCAGTTTATAAGTGTATCAACAAGAAAAATAAAATATAAAGTCACAGAAACATAAAAAACAACAGAAGATGAAAACAGATATATACTATAAACAAACAAAAAAGAATTGGTGTAGTATTCTAGTATGCAAAAAAGACTTTAAATTAAGAAATGTTATTAGAAAGATGACCATTCATAATTAAAAGTATCAATTCATCAAGATGATTGCATTATTCTAAATATCAACACAACTTTTAACCTAGCCTCAAAATATATAAAAATAGTAAGCATTTAAACAACATGATTAACAAAATATAACAGGTAATATAAACCACCGAAAAATACACATTCTTTTAATTGTACAAAAACTATTCACCAAAACAGAACAATTAGTGGGTCAAATAAAAATTAAGTTAGAAAATATTTAACTGAATAACAAAAACATAAAATTTCTGAGATGCAGTTAAGCTTTACTTAGAAATTTATATCCTTAAATCAATATATTATAAAACAATAGCTAAATATTTGAAATCTATCTTAAAATTTTTTAAAATCAGGTAATCATAAAGAAAGTTAAAGAAAATGGTAAAGATATAAAGCTATAAAAAGCTATTAATGGAATATAATATAAAGATAGAACAGAAAAAAATTAAAAAGCCAAATGTTGATTCTCTAATAAAAATGATAAATATCAGTTGCAAATTTAATTAGAGAGAGTGGGCAGGGAGAGGCAAAGAGGGAGAAAAAAATAGCAAATGATCAATATCAGGAAGAATAAAAGGACCAATATTACAGGTCCTACAGACAATAAAACCACACGACTTAGGAGTGGCTAATCCTATTCTGTGCGATATGGGTCTTGGCCCTCACGGGCGTCTATTACAAAGGCAACCCGGCTCTCACCTGTTTTGCCAGGAGAGTGAGGAAGGCAGTGAGGTCTGCACCATTGCCATTGATCTTCAGGCTTCTTTCCTTCTCAGCTAAAGAGCAAAGATCATGAATAGGTTGAGAAAGATAGTTGCTCTTGGATCAGACTTGATAAGGAGAAAAGGAATATGTCCTATAGTTCACAAGAGAGCCTCCTAACTCTACACGTCGGCGATTCCTTGGGCTGTGAGTAAACATTAAATTGGGGATGAATGGATTGTTCTATAGACTTATTCAGGATAAACTGATGGAAACAAAGCTAGCACCAAGGGAACATCTGAGTGTTTCATAGAACACAAAAATTTCATATTAGACATAAATTTTAATTAAATCAAACATACATTTACTTCCTAGAAGTTTTGGCCACGGCCCTATCTGAATATCACATGCGAAATCACCAGTTCTCAAAAAGATGCTGATACTTCATTGTGTGTGTGTGTGTGTGTGTGTGTGTGTGTGTGTGTGTGTGAGTGTCATTGTAATTGCGTCCCAGAAGGACAGGAACGAGTGATGGAGGGAGCACCTCTCTTCACAAGGTAAGTGAGAAAGCCCCAGGAACCATTGCATTAAAAAAATGTATCAGCATTTCTCAAGCCCCAGCACCCTGGCCTTCACCATCATACCTATCCAGGCCTCTGCCACATCAGCCTTCCAGTTGAACTCCTGAAAGGCCAGATCATCTTCCAACTGCGACTTCCAGGAAGCTATGGCCTGGGCCAGAGACGGTGTCTTCGCGTTCAAAGCCTCTATCTTGGCGGAAATCTTCTCCTTGTGCTGACTTTCCTCCTGCAACGCCAACGGTGAAAGGAGGAAGAGAGAGACCAAGGCCAAACATCTGAATTCTTTGGGACTATTAGAAATCTCTCCTCTCTCTCTTTAAAATATTTAACGGCTCTCCTCTAGGTCTAGTGAATTTATTCTGTGATTTCTCTATGTCCCAGATGGTCATTTCCGCCCCCGCACTTGGATGACCTTCTCATGCTTGTTCACGCAACTGTGATTATCTGAGTGGGTGTAAGCATCTAGAAAGTATGACGTCATCTCTGCTTAGGGTTCTTCGTGTAGTACTCAGTCAGTGAGGTGTTGTAAAAACAAGCATTTAAACTAAAGAATGATACTCAAGTTACAAATAAGTTTCCAACGGGTCCTCCTCTGTAGAGGCTTACAAAAAAAAATTCCCCATTCTTACAAATATTCTCTGATCAAAGCAAGTCATTTATAAAAGCTTCATAAATGCCATGTTGTGCACAGGATAAGAGTAAGTGTGTCAACAACTAATTTAAAGAATCTGAAAGGTGTATTTATAAGAGCTTGAAAAAAGAGTTTTCAGAAAACAGAAATTAAATAACTATTTGCTGACAACAACAACAAGAAAAAAATGGCAGCTTAAAGAGATGGATTCAATTGGGCCACTGTGGGAAAATTTATTCCACAGAAATAATCAATTGTGGCATTAATTTTTGGAGAGCAGTAGCTGGTTGTTAAATAATTACCAGCACATCCCCTCTAAATAGCCGCTGTGGCTAGTAGCCGCCATATTGGACACTGCATCCCTAGATAATAAAAATAAATATATATTTGTTAGATGTTAAAAATAGGTGATTAAAATTCTGTGTATGATTTTAGCACTGCTCATGAGTCTATATTTGGGCCAATCCCTTTTGAAAATGAAAGTCTGACCGGGAATTCCCGGAAGCACTCACCTTACTCAGGATGCCTTCCCCCTGAGCACACACATTTTGCACCCGGGCCTCGTGGACAGCAAAGTCATTATCCAGGCCTTCATGCTTCTTTAGCAAACTCTGCATAAACGAGTCGGTAGGAATCAAAACATCTGGGCAGCATATCCCACCCACATTGCTCCCCAAATTATTCACTTGCCCCAAAAAGGGCAAACGTACCAGAAAAAGGGTCACAGGTATATAAGTGATATTGAGTCTATCTCACCACGTGACCTGACAGTTTTCTGGATTTTGGAATTAAGAGTGTTGATCAAGGCTTTCTCTATATTGAAATTTAAACATTTCTAAGCAACACTGTATTTACCAGAAAAATATTAAGTATCAAGAACACCCTATATTAAGGGCTATTCTTAATTTGTTTTTTTTTCCCACCAGGAGGGAGATTCTAATTTTAAGGTGAAATCACTGAGAATCTAAGAAGAGATTCCTCTTAAAGAGAAGACAATGGATTCATTCCGCCCATTGTTCACCTGAGTAGCAGCCAATGTGTCTCCAGAATCTCCTCGGGCAACCATCGCTTCCTTTTCATTGATCCAAGCTTCTTCTTCCTCGGCATTCTCCATAAATTGCAGGTATTCTAGGGACTCTTCCAACTGAAGCCCTCTACAGCAGGCCAGGAAGCCCCGGGAAGAAGAAGAGAAAACCAGCAAGCGTGGGAATGGAGCCAAAGGCACAACCTCACGAGGCAGCCACCGTTGAACTGGGCCACAAAGGAATTGAGCCTGTGTCTACTAGTCAGCGGTGGTGGTCTGCTCTGAAAAGGGGGAGACTCTTGACCCACAAGTTCCGTTTTGTAGCATCATCTACTCTCCAGGAATGTTTGTTGGGGAAAGGAAATCTTGTCCAAACAAAAGTGCTAAGACTTTGGATTCACTAATGGCAGTGAATCAGAACACTGTCGTTCATCTTAAGTGCTTTTATTTCCCCGGGAAGAAATGTCTTCCTATGCCAACCGACATGAAATTATAGCAGAAATTATTTTACTTGGCTATATGACTATATGATTCTAAATGGCTATATGGCTATAAGGGAGAAAAAAACATTTCTCTCACTACTAACTGTTGCATACAAGGCTAAAATTGGGGCACCATCAAACAAACAGGTGGCAAATAACCTGTTACAAAGAGCAGCAGTGAAAAAAGATGGTTGCAGGTAAGTGCAGGAGTAGAGGTCTGTGAGCACAGAGGCAGCAATGACTTCTGCCTGCGGCAAATGGGAGACTGTTTAACGGAAGACTGCGCTTGAGGGGGGCCTTAGAAGATAGAGGAGGGGTGGCCGGGGAGAAATGCTAAGCAAGCACGTGGGTGTCCCCCCCAACCCCAGTTCCACACCTGCCACACAGGCGGAGAACCGGGCCTCCGCCCCACTCACCGCGCCTTGGTCAGCTCTTTGAGCTGCTCCCAGTGTTGAACAAACTGCGCCAGCCGCTCCTGGATCTCCTCTCGCCCCACCGCGGCCTTGTCTCCCAGCCCCACTGCCATATCCAGCACGTTCTGAAAAACACACCCCCTCCATGCTGCGCCACCTTACGCCCTCTCCCGATGTAGGCGCAGTTCCCTGGCAAAGTATCCAGGCAGATTATTTCTTAACTTCATGGTACTCAGGGTGGACTTAAAAGTCCTGGGAGGATGAAGGAAGCTGTAGCAATAGACCATGTTAAATTGACCCAAATAGTTGAGCGGACACATTGGCATCTGTGCCAGGCCATGCACTCCATGATCTGATTTATAGATTAGTCACGGTCATAGGGTGACCCTGCTGCCAAGCCAGAACCAGAGTTGCCTTTTTTACCATACGGTTCGGCTCAAGCACAGCTTCTCCGAATGTCCCAACCTGCATCCTAATTGTCAAAACTGTGCCCTGGCGAGTTGAAGTGCTCCTTCCAAGGAAGAGCACGGGTCCCTGTGCAGGATTCTTCGAGTCACAGGATACAGCGTGTGGAGGAGAAAAGAACGCTTTTGAATGCTGACTGACTATGTGATCGTGGCACTCCGCCTTCACATTTTACAGAATCATCCTCCTTATCCAACACAGGGGGGCCTACTATTGGATTAGCTCTGCCCTCCCAGGCCTCAGACTCTACTGTTCCTACCTGGATGGCAGGTTCGTGTGCCATCAGCTCCCCCTCCAGCCTTCTGTGCTTCTTCAGTAAGTTCTGAACCCCCTGCAGATCCCTCCCCTGGTCCTGGGAGCGCACTCGAACCAACTTCTCTCTGCAAACAAGGGAGGAACAGTTTAGGCACCTGAGGTCACCCTAGAGCAGCAGTTTTCTGAATGTTTGTGTGGCTGGAGGTGAGGTGCTGGCAACGTTCTGGAGTCAGTAATCACAAAGATAATTAGTACCAAAGGCTTTCAGCTAAATTTCTGACTCAGGCTAAAGCAGTTAACATAGCAACTGATCTCCACCAGGTGGACAGCAGCTCCAGCCTTCTCCTTAGTTCCCTTGCCTGTCTCATGACTCATCTCTCCTTTGCTCAAGAATGTAACTAGTGTTCCTCTTTGAGTAAAAGTGAAAATTATATGCATACACATACCCACAAACATATATGCATATATGACTTCATGGCATTTGTTATGTTTGTCTACCGATACATTTAGTTAGAATGAGTTATAAAGAGCTGATATTATAGAAGTAATGGCAGCAATGGTGCTGAGTGTAAACTATTTGAATATCACTATGAAGCACAGTAAAAGACGACAAAGACAAGATTATATTACCTCACTGTTTCTAAAAGTGTTTCTAAAATGCCCTACTTGTTGCCCTGTGCACAACATTTTTCTCTAATTCATTGATTACTGTGAAGAATCAGCAGATGTGTTGAAGACAAACATGATGAGGCCGGTTAAACAGAAAATAAAACAAATAATTTGATTTGCTAGTATATTCCTAATCATATTTTTCCAAATAAATATAAACATTTTATTTTTTTGTTTTATTTTAAAAATCTAGTTAAATTTATTGAGGTGACATTGGTGAATAAAATTATGTAAGTTTCAAGTGTACAATTCTATGATGCATGATCCGCATATTGCACTGTCTTCACTACCCAATCTTCCCTCACCGTATATTGACTCCCTTTACCCTTCCACTCTCCACCCTTCCCTCTGGTAACCGCATACTCTTGTATTTATCTGTGAGTTTTGTGTGTTTGTTATTTTTATTTATTTGTTGCTTTCAATATTATATCCCACATATGAGTGAAATCATATGGTTCTTGCCAATTGTATGTTTTTGCAACAAAGGTAGAATTAATTAGTAATAAAACCATGGTAGGTAATGTGTAACATTCCCTGTCCAGTGTCCAGTTTAGTATCATATTAGATACAGAGGATACAGAAAAAAGAAAGACAATGAGCTCATCAGTTGGGTAAGTTGTAAATGTCCAGCTGTCTCATTTCGAAGGAGCATTACACATTCTATGAGCTATCTAGAACTATGGTTTCTTTTTTTATTGTTTAAGGTATTACAAATAGTAGTACACGTGTCTCTTTTTTTCCCCACTGACCTCCCCCCGGCCTCCCCTCGTCCCCTCGCCCCCAGTGTCTTGCGTCTGTTGGTTGTGCTTATATGCATGCATACAAGTCCTTCGGTTGATCTCTTACCCCCGCCCCCCTTAACTTTGTTCCCAGACTACATGTGAACTATTCCTCACTCCTTCTTTTCTTATCTCCCTCTGCATGTATACAGTGAGGGAATTTGGAAAAATAAAATAAATGTTAACTTTAAGCTAAGGCCAACATGATTAAGAAGTAATACCAACGCCAAAAAACATCACCTATTTCATTTCAGCATCAAATAGAAACATGTTGCGTGGGTTATCTACTCTCTTGAATTACCAACGCAATGTAAGCTGGCAGCACATACTCTATCCAGGCCTCCTCATCGTCCAGGTCCTGGAAGAACTGGAACAGGGCATAGGTCTCTTTCAGTTTCTCATGGTGAGCAGCTGCTAGATTCTGGACGTCCAGGAAGCGCTTGTTGACATTATCTCTTTTCTCCACAATCTGGTCAGCATTGAAAGTCCCGCTGGAGAGCAGATCAGCAGCCAACTCATTCAGGTCCTTCAGTGCATCCTAGAAAACCCAAGTGTGTTCAGTGAATAGTACAGTACAGGCATTAAGCTGGTAGCAGGTTCGATCCCCAGTAGGGGGCGTGCAGGAGGCAGCCGATCAATGATTCTCATCATTGGTGTTTCTGTCTTTCTCTCCTTCTCCCTTCCTCTCTGAAATATATATATGTATACCCCCCACACACATATACATACATACATATTTTTTAAAAAGACGTGGCAGATTTACACAATGGAATATTACACAGCTGTTAAAAAGATGGAACTCTTACCCTTCACGTCAGCATGGAGGGACCTGGAGATTATTATTCTAAGTGAAACAAGCCAGTCAGAGAATGACAAATATCATAGCATCTCACTTATAATGTGGAATCTAATGAGCAAAATAAACTGACAAACAAAATAGGACCAGAAACATGGGTACATGGAACAGACTGACAGATCTCAGAGGGGAGGGGGATGACGAGGACTGAAAGAGATTAACCAGAGACCATGTAGCATATATACGTGGGCCACGCACACTGACAATAATGTGGCAGAGGTCTAGGGGTGGGGAGCGAGGGTTGGGTGGAGGGAGACAAAAAGAGGGAAACAAGACATTTATGGCAGTGTCAACAGCAAAGAAAAAAAGATAATTAAAAAAAAGACTGCTGCAGCCTCTCTCTGCTGCCCATGGATATGACCTGGTTATAATGACTAGTGGTCGAGAACATTAAGGTCGGTTTTGCAAGACTGTATCTCAAATGACCTCTTATGATGGGAAACATTTCCGTTCTTGGAATGCAAGCCCCAGAGGAGTGGGATGCCAACACTACTTACATTTCGGGCCAACATCTCCGTTTCCAACAGCTGGTGCTTCTTGAGCAGGTTTCCTGCGGAAGCCAAGTCCCTGGCCTGGTCTTTCATGGCCAGCAGTGTCTCCGCCTGGGCACAGAAGAATAAGCAAGAAAGCTGTCAGCCAAAACGATCTTTAGAAGGAACAAGATTGGCAACTGTGTCCCCAAACTTTCCCCAAGAAGAGTGAAGGGGGTTATTCAGGCATGAATCTGATGATCTGATAAGCTCCCATCCCCTCACCTCCCCCCGCCCCCAACTCCACACCCACTTCCAGGTGCAATTACCTCTGAGAGCCAGAACTCAAAATCCCGGATGCCTGTGTTGAACCTCTGTTGACGACTAGCCTCATTGAGCTTCTGCCCTTTGTCAATTGTTCTCTCAAGCAGGTAGTCCCAGTGTTTCTCCAGCTCTTCCAGTTGACCCTAACCCAGAGAAATTGAGAAGGTCATAATGATCTTTAGAATCCTGGGTCCAGTAACAACTTGAATGGATAATATAGGAAGGCTATGAAGGTAGGGACTAGCCAAAATTTTCCAATACTTGAATATCATAGGTTTTTATTGATTTCAGAGAAAGGAAGGGAGAGAGAGACAGAAACATCAATGATGAGAGAAAATCTTCGATTGGCTGCCTCCTACTGGGGATCAATCTTGCAACCCAGGCATGTGCCTGACCAAGAATAGAACTGTGACCTTCTTGGTTCATGGGTTGACGCTCGACCACTGAGTCATCCTAGCTGGGCTGAATACCTTGTGTTAAACCAGTATGCTTAATCTGGGGAAAAGAACAGAAGGTACGAGAAGAAACTTTGAAGAAAGGGTGCTGGACTGCTTACAGGGACTGATGCCTGAATGGCAATGACTCTTGGCCATAGGGATAGAAAATGTAAAACAAGTATGATGATGCTTAGTAATTAAGTCTAAAACTTTCTTGGAGTTTTAGGTACTAAGTGTGGTAGGAGCAATCAGGTCCCAGCATCACTGTTTTCCTCCTTCCTTGTGCAACAATCAGAGAAAAGGCCACTAATCAGAAAACATATTCCATATCCCTACACATGGAAACAATAAAAGAGTAAAAAAAATTATCTTCCTGTGACTCTAGAGCCCAAAACCCAAGCTGGCAGCACCCCTACCATCATGGTCTCTTCATTGCCATCGCATGCCCTTTGCTCAATCAGAGAGTTCCCCAAGTTGATGACTCCTTCTACTTGCTCAGCTCGGCCGTACACCTCATTTTCAAAGGTCTGGTGCTTCAGGTACTTCCTCTGCAGGAAAAGAAGAAAGTAAGTCATCTTCTCACTTAGGGAAGCAAGAAAAGGTAACTTCTATTGACAAAGAAGAGGTCACGTTTCCACCATAACCAACGTGATGATGGCTTCTGAAGAACCCACTCCACATTAGATTCCAAAGTCTCTGAGGACAGCAGGAGTGATCACAGCAGTAAGCAAATGTTCACTGTCGGGAGGTGACCATTCCTCTGACAATCTCCGGATGCTGACTTTCCCCACGGTTTTTATTTTGAGCTTGCCTGAATGTTGGTAGGGTCTTTGTAGGACTCATCACAGGCGGTGGGCAGCATCTCACTGATCCATTCTTCCAGGTCCTCGAGGTCACGGTAGAATTGTTTTAGGTCAGCATAGTTTCCCAGTTTTGTCCGCTCAGCAATCAGCAGTGCTTTGAGAGCCTTCCACCTGGAAGAGGGGGCGGGATCATTTTCTGCCCTCTGCCCTCCCCTCAACCCCAAATGGCATAGCCATGACTCTTGCCATTTGCCAACCTGTCCCTTCCCCTCTCATTACTTATATATTTATGAGTTACATATAACAGAGTTAAAAATTATTTAGTCTCACATCATATTATTATATGTCATATTATTATCTGTACACCATATGTCTATGTTATATATAACATAGTCTCATAATTTTTATATATAAAATAGGGTGGTTAAGTCAAGTAATTGCTAAGGTAACGTCTATGTCTTTTATTCTGTGAGTGTAGATCATAAAGTTTCCCAAAGTGTCAAGGTAGTTTTAGGCACCTAAAGATGAGAAAAGCTCAGTGTTACCCCCATGCTCAATGCTAGCAGAGGGGATGCTTTGCTACATCCTCTTGTTGCTCAAAAACAGTTGCTCAGGTCTGACCTGTCCAGCACCCGCTGGAGGCGAGCAGCAATCTCTTCCTTGGCATAGTGGTCATCAGCTATGAGGCGCTCAGCAAAATGCTCTAGCTCAGTGATCTTGTTTTCCTAGTACCAGGGAGAGAGAGAGAGAGAGAGAGAGAGAGAGAGAGAGAGAGAGAGAGAGAAGATTAGGCCCTGGTACAATCCCAGACTCTCTCCTAGAAAAGAACAGAGATATCCTTTGTGACTTCATGAAGGGAAACCAAAGCAGGACCAAAGGGTAGATGCCTTACAGGGAGATGGGTTTTAAATAAACAAGATGAGAACTATTACTAAGAATACTTAGATGGGCTACTTGTGTGGCACCAAATTCCTGTCTTTGTTACTTCCCATGGCCATTGTGGAGGGTAATTTCTGCACTGGGTGGGATGCTGGAATAGACGGTATAAAAAATCTCTTCCAACTCCAAAATTCAGGTTGATTTTTAAAAAATCCTCAACAGAGGATATTTTTCCATTGATTTTTAGAGAGGGTGGAAGAGAGAGAAATATCCATGTGAGAGAAATGCATCGATTGATTGCAAGGAGCCTGCAACTGAGGTACGTGTCCTTGACTGGAATTGAACCCGGGACCCTTCAATCTGCAGGCCGATGCTCTATCCACTGAGCCAAAGTGGCTAGGGCTAAAATCCAGGTTTTGAAAGGTTGGACATAAAGTAAGAAAGGTCAATGCCATGTGTGTCTTGAGTTAGAATAAGCCAAAGTGTCAAACTACCTCGGAGTTTCCTGTAGAAGCAAATGGGAATACTTTTAAATCATAAACCACAAACGTATGTAGAGTTTCTGTTATTACTAATAGTTATTTTTTGAATTCTTATATTATTACCTGGGCAGCGATTGCTTTGTCCAAATCATCGCGTTTCTTCATCAAGGCCTCCAGACTGTCTAAGGAACCCTTATCATCTGACCTCAGGAAATTCTCACGAGCCACCATCCAGCTCTCTGCCTGGTCACAGTTGCCTTGGAACAACTATGGGAAGTCAAGTTAGAGGTACATGAGACATCAGTCCTCCCTTATCCACAGTTTCATTTTCTGTAAGGTCAACCACGTTCAGAAAATATTGCATGGAAATGCCAGAGGTAAACAATTCATAAGTTTTAAATAATGTGCCTTTCTGAGCAGAGTGAGAAGTCTCCAGCCATCTTGCTCTGATACACCTTGCTCCGTGCATCTGCGTTATTGTACACTCCCCAACTGTTAATCACTTAGCTGTCTTGGTTATTAGACCTGCTGTATCAATATGGTTGAGTGCAAGTAGCCCCAATTCTACTTTATAATGGTCCCCAAACCATTCACATAACTTGTACTATAGTATATTGTTATGAAGGTTGTATTTTATTATTTAGTTGTTGTTGTTAATCCCTTACTGTGCCTAATATATTAATTTGCAAACTTTACCATAGGTATATATGTACAGAAAAAAAAAGATTGTATATCTAGGGTTCAGTACTGTCTGTGGTTTTAGGTATCCCGAACTCTCTCCTAGAAGAGTCTTGGAACATACCTCCCACAAACAAATGGGGAACCACTGTACGGGACCTCTTACATTTCCCTGTAACACATTTATGTTTTTACATAAGCTATCCTTCATTCTTGGGGTGCTATTTCCCACATCTACCCCTGGTGAATACTGGCTGCTTATTTAAAGTGGGTGAACATTCTCTTCAGGGTAACCTGGAATACTCACTCTTTTCCCTCAAAAGTGTTCATCACTTCCTCTTCTTTAACCTCAAAACATTCATACGTTTTGTTTCATTAACAAGTACTAGAATGATCTGTCTACATGTCTAATTTCACTCCTTAAGAAAAGGGACGCTATCTTACTAAACTGTATGTTGCCAGGGCTCTGCACACAGTAGGCTCTCAATAAAAATCAATAAATCAAAAGGTCAATGAATACATAAATTATAATCACCCCACTTCATGCTGAGAAATGGCCCCCATTTTGTTTGGCTCTTTCAACAGGAATAAAGGCCATGAATACAACAGTCATCAGTCTACAAAGCAGAGGATACAGTGTCAGGTAACCAAGAGATACCCTGGTGCTTTCAGCATGGGAAGACCAGGGAAATGAGCACCCGTACTTAACCAGGTAAAACTGCGCAGAAGGAGCAGACAGAGGCCAGTGTGCTCAATGACTGCGGATTGGCTGTACCTGATACTCTAGACACTGATTTAGCATCTTCTCGCGTTGCTCCCAAGCTTTCTCCAAATCAGCTCTCTCTTGTCTGACAGCTTGAAGCTTTTTTTCAATTTCAGGACTGTCTCGGTGCCCGCTGCCTATAAGTTCTGCACCGAAGTCTTCTAAGGCCTGGAAGGTCGGAGCCTCGGCCTCCATGTCAGCATGGTGTTCCTGTGGGGAAGAAGGAGAAGAAACTGGTGAGGCCAGTGCCATCACAGCCAAGTCACGTGAACAGAAGCTATGGCTTTTGTAGCCATACCTGGTGTCGCTCTATCAATATCTCAGTACCGGTTAAGTCCTCAGCCATCTCCTGCGATGATACCATGCCATCCATGCCACTGATCCAATTCTGTAGGTCCCTGGAGAAAAAGACACATTGGGATTGACAAGAAAGCCTTGCAACTCGCTACAGGGCTGTCTGTCTTTGGGCTTTTTCCTCTCTTGAAAATGTTTCCAGATTAATACCTTTGATCTGGCTTTATCCGCCTCACAGATCTTAGGTTTTTGTTTTCACTGCATGACTAATAGCAACCCCTCGCATTTGAAAATCTCTTCACATATATTGTTTTCTTCAGTTCTTGTAATAATCCTGTACAGAATTCTGGAAATTCTCTTGTTTTCATTTTGGAGATGAGAAAGTCAGCTTAGAGATAATAAGTGATTTGTCCATGTTACATAAGTAAAAGAAGCATCTAGACCGGGATCCAGACACTGGAGTCCTGAAACAGTACATATTCCATCACTTCTAAGGGTTCATGTTCTTTACAGTAGATTCTTTTATCATTAATAATACTATAGTGCATATTCGAAAGTTTCTAAGAGTAAACCTTTTTATTTTTTAATTAAATGTTTATTGATTTTTAGAGAGAAAGGAAGGAAGAGGGAAAGAGAGATGGAAACATGGATGAGAGAGAAGCATCAGTTGGCTGCCTCCTGCATGCCCTCTGCTGGGGATCAAGCCAAAAAGCTGGGCGAGTGCCCTGACAGGGAATCAAACCAGTGACCTCTTGGTTCATGGGTTGATGCTCAATCACTGAGCCACACCAGCTAAGCTAGATTTAGTTAAAAATATATCATCTTATGGAATCTCAAGGAAGGCATATATCAAACAAAACAGTCTCTTCTTTTGTAAACTCATTTATTCAATTATTCAAACAATTAAAATTTGTTGGGTGCTTACTGATATGCTGAGAAAAAGTGTGGAAATTGTTCCACAGACAAAGTGTACATTTGCTAAATTATAATAATGTCTACATGCTTCTGTCAGGCAATGATAATTCTCTAGCATTTGATCTCAACGTTTCTAAGCTTCTTTCTTGCTACTTCTCCCTACCCCTCTGAGATACAAAGCCAGTGCTCTAGCTATCCCTGCCTGTTCCATGAACAAGCTGCCCCTTTCTGAGCCTTGTGCCTTTGTTTGTATACTAGTATAGTTTCATTTACCTGTTAAGATGAGAGTTTGGGGCTGTATTGCGTTCTACCATGGTTATCTGTATTCCTCTGTGCCTTCTCAGTACAATGAAAATATCCATATCCTACAACTCCTCACATAGCACCTTATGTGTGTATAGCATACACTCTATTGAAGTTTATCTAATTTGCTTAGATAGCCTCACATTCCTTCAAACTTCAACATTTTATGGCTCAACGTATTGAACTTCAGATTTTTTGTGCCTGATCAGAAACACTATCTGGACATAGGTACCCTCCAGACCCGCAGTAAAGAGCCCCGATACCCAGACTGCCCTCAGGGCCAAGCAGGAAATTGCCCACCCACCTGGCCGTTTGATCTTTACCTGGCCTTGCTGAGGAACAGGTAGAATTTCTGGGCCTCACTTAGATTCTCCTTCCGGTCCTTTGTAAGCCCAAGCAGGTCATCCCAGGCCTCATTCAACTCCGTCCGCTGCTTCTGCAGGTCATCAGTGGCGTCTGGGTGGGACTCGCTGAGCCGCTCTGCTGTCTCTCCCAGTATGGTCACCTGAGGAGGCACAAGAGCTCTGATCATCACCCTAGAGCCACACCTAGATCCTCGCAAAAGAAAAGGCCTCCGGTCCTGAATGTCCCTGCTCCTCAAACAGACATCAATGAGGTACAAGAACATCTTGCTGCTTTCTCTACTAAAATGGCAGCTCCATCGGTGACTCCCTGAAGTAGGCCACATTGACATGACCATACATCTTTTTTTTTTTTCCAAAATATATTTTATTGATTTTTTACAGAGAGGAAGGGAGAGGGATAGAGAGTTAGAAACATCAATGAGAGAGAAACATTGATCAGCTGCCTCCTGCACACTCCCTACTGGGGATGTGCCCGCAACCAAGGTACATGCCCTTGACCGGAATCGAACCTGGGACCCTTGAGTCTGCAGGCTGATGCTCTATCCATTGAGCCAAACCAGTTAGGGCCCATATATCTTTTTAAAAATATATTTTTTTATTGATTTCAGAGAGGAAAGGAGAGAGAGAGAGAGAGAGAGAGAGAGAGAGAGAGAGAGAGAGAGAGAGAGATACTGAGGATCAGGCAACAATCTGGGCATGTGCCCTGACTGGGATTTAAACCGTGAACTCCTGGTTCATAGGTCGATGCTCAGCCACCAACCCACGGTGGCTGGGCCATAGTTCTTTTAAGATAAGAAGGCGTTTGGGGAGGGTGCTTAAGTAAAAGCTGGTGAGTGACAGCATCATTAGGGAACCAAGGGTCCTGATTTTTATTGTGAAGATCTTCCCAATATCAAGATTTCTGGGCGTCTTTTTGCTCTGCTGGATAATGCCATGCTGTGTGATGACTCTGATTTATCCCAGAGTGTATCTGGCAGGCTCCAGGGTTCACTTCTGGGTTGGAATAGAATTAAAGTCATTCGATTACTTGTGAAGGAAATGAAGCACCATGCTCAGGCATAGGCCTGGCCATCTGGGCTGTGACCATTTCCTACTTATTTTAGGCTACTGTCTTCCAAATAGCTTCTGTACATTCTGCTCACTGGTAGCCCATTCAATAGGCACTTGGGCAGGAGGTTCATTTCCAATATATTTTCCTCCCCTGCTAATGGGCCTGGGGCATGTCCTTTCAGTGATCTTGCTTTAAGGACAGGATACAAGGACAAGTATGGAGTAATAGAAAGATAAATGTAAGAATATGAACTGGAAAATAAGACCACAGGAGAGGGCATTGATAAATCAAGAAGAAAGTGTTAGAAAAGCTTGGAAGCTCCCGTCTCACCTTTTCTCCCAGGGGTGCGAGGTCTCTCTCAAACCCCTCGTGCTGTCGCTGAAGGGCCTGAACACTGAACAGGTCGGAGCCAGGATCCGCAGCACTGAGGGCCTGGCACTTCTTCTCAATCTGCTCCTTCACGTCATCTGCTTCTCTTTTCACGAGAGGAAAAGAGAGTTTAGGAGTAAGAATGTGCACCAGAGGATGACTAGCTGGCCTCATAAGGAAGTCTTCCCTACCACCACCACACCATCATCATCATCATCATCACCACCACACCATCATCATCATCATCACCACCACCACTATCATCATCATCATCACCATATCATCATCACCATCATACCACCATCACCACCACCACCACCATCACCACCACCATCATCACCATCATCATCATCACCTCCATCATCATCACCGTCATCATTATCATCATCCCCACCATCATCACCACCATCATCATCATCATTATCATCCTCACCACCACCACCACCACCATCATCATCATCATCACCACCACCACCACCACCATCATCATCATCATCATCACTACCACCACCACCATCATCCTTTTCAATGTGCTAGAACATATGCTCATTTCATCTTCACAACTACTTGAGGCATAGTTACTACTACCATGCCTACTTCATTTAGGAGAAAACTGAATTTTAAAGATGCTAAGTATATGTTTTCAGAGTTGCACTACTGCTAAATGCCAGCCTAAGTTTGAACCAGGTGGCCCGCCTGCAGAGCTGCATGCTCAACTGTTATACTTCACAGCATTCCACCTGAAGCCATTTTGAACAAACCCAACCATCTGCACTTCACTGTTCCCTTCTCTGGATATTCAAAAATACATTTATGCACAGAGAAGGTGTTTGGTTTTCTATTTGTTTGTTCATTTGTTTGCTTGCTTGCTTAGTTGTATATGTGTATTTCTTAGTATAGAAACAGAATGGAAATCATAAATAAGTTGTTGAAGCAACAGTTAATGTCACTGTGATATCTGTTGTTCTCTACTGTCTACATCTAGTTCAGAAATATAGTTACTTAAACCTCTTGCTTCTACTTAAAGTTTTATTCACTGACATAACAACACACATGGACTGCTGTTATGTACCAGGGCCCAAGCCTAGGCACTAGAAAACTGACATTGATTGTCTGGGAGTATGCTATGTGCCAAGTGAGGAATATACTACTGAAACACCTGATCTACCATCTCTATCTTAGGGAGAAGAGTTATACTAATAGCTATGGTTCTACTATAATAATTAGACCTGGGGGCTTTTGAGTGGCTTCTAGAACAAGGCTGCCTCTTAGGGTTCAACTGCTCACCTGTGGAACATTTGGACAGCATGGGCGCTGCCCAGCAGCTGGCGCTGCTCCTCTGCAAGCCTCTGCAAGGAGTTCCAGCGGGTGTTCAACTCCTAGAAGAGGTGGACATGTCAGACCTGAGCCAGGGAACTGACTCAGACAGCTCCATGGTGTGTGAACACTAAACAGGGTTTAAATCATGTTAGTTTTCATGTTATCGCCTTCAAAAATTGGATAGGTTCATGTCTTTGTTGGATATTTCTAGTTTGGGCCTGATTTATGCCCGTGCAGTTAAGAAGGAGATCACTTTCCTTCCCAAACTGATGTTTCAGGGCGAAGCCATCCACCCTGGAGTGGCAATCGGTGTTTGCTGCCACAGAGACTATGTTGCATCCTCTGAAAAATGAGTGGAAAGCATTGCCTTAGTTATTAGAAGCTATTGCATTTCTCTAGGAGAAATATATGCCTTTCTTCATCCTGCATTCATGAAACAAAGTAGTCTCTTAGAGTCCTACTTTCTGTAGATGGCAAGTAAATTGTTCCTGTGAACATTCCTTTTCCCTTTATTCCATATCCACCACCACAAAAAGCAGAAGAGCACTCATCCTCATTAGTTTATTACAACCCAGAGAGCTGGACGAGACATTCCATTAATGTTCATTAGACATTTTATGAAACCATAGGTCCAAATTTGAATCAGCTCTGGAATGCTCCCTTCCCCATTCTCTACTGACCTATATTCATGTCCTTTTTTCATCAGATTTTATTAGGACCTATCTCTTCCAATATATCTTTCTTGATATATCCCTTCCATTATCATAGCTCCTTTATCTGCATTTTCATTGTATTCATATTCGAGCACTGAATTTCTGTCTGTGATGATAGGGGAAAGGTGAGTGTATGTTGCAATGTGTGGACTTCAGATCAGTTCAAATGGCTGAACAAATTGGTCTATTGTCTTTAACCTTTTCGGTGGCCAGCTCCATGCTGCCGTGACCTCCTGCATGTCCTAGCTGAACTGTGGAATATGAAGTGAGTATGTTTAAGGAATGAGGACTCCCCAAGCTCAGCCTGGTCGAGAGGAGAAATGGACAGAGCCTTAGTTACCTGCCGTATATGAGTTCCTTCTGGTGTTAGAAGCCCTTCAAAAAGCAGATCGTCAGCTACCTTGTTGATGTCCCTCAGTCGAGGCTCATTGGTCTTCAAATCCTAGATGGGAAAATGTATGCAAAGCAGTATAGATCACTTCTGATGAACCTTTCATACGTGCCTGCTTATCTCTGCCCTGACATGGCTAAACATTAAAACATATTGCTAACCTTACATTCAATACAGAACAAGCTTCCCTCCTCCAAATTGGCACTTAGTAGAGTACCTTTAATCTCCCTGAAATCCCGTGACTATCAGAAACTTGGTAAGAAGTTGCTATTTATCTGAAGTATGGAGCACATCCATTTTCCTAGATTTCTCTTTATTTTTCATTTTCCAATATAATTAATTGCCTATTCTTATTGTTTAACAGTTTTTATTTTTTCCCTTCAATTTTTTAGATATTTATATACAGGCATATTGGCCCTTTATAAGATATCTTGCAAATATTTTCTCCCAGTTTGTTAATTGTATTCTGATTTGGTTTATGATGATAGTTGCTATGCTAAAGTTTATCAATCTTCTCTTTTAGTGCATTCAGTGAACCTGAATTTTGAGTCATAATTTAGAAAGTCTTTCCTTACAAGGTATTAAAATATAATATAGAAACTCTGTAATTAAAACAGTGTGGTGTTAATCAATGAACATACAGGCTACCATAGTTTATCAAATCTATCATAGAAAAAAAACAAATAATTTACAGTAATAATTTCAAATACATATGGAACTTTGCTATATGATAAAGGTAGTAATTCAAATCACTAGGTAAAAATGGACATTTCAGTAAATGATGCTGCAAAACTTGGTTAACCATTTGGGGAAAAGATAAGATGTAGCCATCCCTTACACCAGTGATGGCGAACCTTTTGAGCTCGGCGTGTCAGCATTTTGAAAAACCCTAACTTAACTCTGGTGCCGTGTCACATATAGAAATTTTTTGATATTTGCAACCATAGTAAAACAAAAATTTATATTTTTGATTTTTTTATATATTTAAATGCCATTTAACAAAGAAAAATCAAACAAAAAAAATGAGTTTGCGTGTGACCTCTGACACGTGTGTCATAGGTTCGCCATCACTGCCTTACACCATATTCAATAATAAACTCCAAATGACCAGGATCTAAATCTAAACTGAATCCATATAAGTATTAAGAGAAAACTGGGTGAATTTCTTGTTTCTAGCTTTCTTACAAATCTCTCCCTGGGTTAAATAGCACCATCAGGGGGATCTATACCTGGCCATATACTATTCTTTTCTGCCAACACAAACTCCTCCACCTTCTATAGAATTTCATGAACTGAGTTGCAATCTGCTTCTACTAAGGTATGTTGTAAGAAACAGCCATAGGGAGCTCATTACACTGTCCACAGCGGCAATATTGTTCATTACATTGTACAATAGCCTTTCAAGGAGTTTTCCTATGGAAGTCTCATTTTTGGTGTTATTTTATAATTTTTTTTTTGTTTTCCTTTCTTTCACTTTTCTCTTTACATATTCCTAAAAACTAAAATATAATCTCTGTAGCTATCTATCCATCAGTCAATCATCTGTCACTTTGAATTTCACTGGAATCCATCAGAAAAGAGAAAGGCCTAGCTGGGGTAGCTCAATGGTTGAGAGTCAACCTATGAACCAGAGGTCATGGTTCTATTCCTGGTGAGGGCACATGCCTAGGTTGCAGGATCGATTCTCAGTGTGGGGCATGCAGGAGGCAGCCAATCAATGATTCTCTCTCATCATTGATGTTTCTATCTCTCTCCCCATCCCTTCCTCTCTGAAATCATAAAAATATATATTAAAAAAAAGAAAGGGCCCTGGCCGGCTTGGCTCAGTGGATAGGGCGTCAGCCTGCGGACTGAAGGGTCCCAGGTTCAGTTCCGGCCAAGGGCACATGTCTGGGTTGCGGGCTCCAGTGTGGGGCATGCAGGAGGCAGCCGATCAATGATTCTCTCTCATCATTGATGTTTCTATCTCTCTCGCTCCTTCTCCCTTCCTCGCTGAAATCAATAAAGAAATATATTTTTTAAAAAAAGAAAGGAAGAAAGGGATTTATATTCACTGCTAGTTAAAATAATAAAATGAGTCTGAAAGAATGAAGGAGAATGGAAGGGTTTTAAGTAGGTGGGAAATTAGAAATTGTCTAGCTTTAAAGTCAGGTTATCCTTCCTATCTGCCCATGTGACCTCTATCTCTGGCCGTGTGTCTATGCATCAGGAGCACAGCACAGTATAGGGCAAATTTTGAAGAATTCAGGGTGATCACCACTCCTTGTAGGACTTGGGAGTAGCAGGAACCGCAGGCTGAAAAGTTGGGTGACTACTTTCCTCTGCGTTTCCCTTGCACCTACAATATCCAGAGAAAGATTTAAAATGTGGAACTCTCAGCAGGTTTGTGATAGACATTTATCAAATTTGAAATTAAAGAGTTGCTTAGGAGGAGGTATGGGATAAAAGGAAATAATAATAACCCTCAAAAAACTGTCTAGAAGAAATGGCTTCTCTTTCTCACCGTTTGGAACTCATCAAACTTTTTCTGCAGCTCCCACACGTCATCGAGTTCTATGCCAGTGTTTTCTGCCTTTTTCTCTCGGATCCAGTCCAGCATGTCGCCTGCCTCATAGGCCAGCAGAAACTCGTTGTAACGTTGCAACAGACCACGTCTGCGTTGTTCTGCCCGGTCGAGGAGAGAGTGATACCTAGGTGTATGAAGGAAGAGAATGGAAAAGGTGAAATATAAGATGGAGAAAGCACAGAAGAGAGGAGGCAGGGGGAGAGAGGGAGAGGATGAGAGGGACAAAAAAAGAGAGAGTGAAAATCAAAAGAAAAACAGTAAAGCAGTGAAGGAAATACAGATAGAAGGAAAATAGCATTGAGAGCAGAGAAACAAACACACAGTGTTCCATTTAAAAATAGTAAGTGTCAATGTTCCAGTGGTGACTGGCGACATCTAATCGAAGTGAAATTTTGAAAGTCCTGCTGACAACTGGATATGAAGCAGCCTGGCCGAGTGAATAAAATTCACATGGAAGCCAGCAAGCCTTTTTATAACCTTGAAAGAAGGCTAGGCAGGGAGTCAGAAGATGTGACTCTATTAGGCGTCTAACCTCGGGCAATTGGCTTAATGGTACTGGGATTCTCTGGCTTCATTGTAAAAAGGAAGTATTTGAGCCCTAGCTAGTTTGCCTCCCTGAATAGAGTGTTGACCTGCAGACTGAAGAGTCCCAATTTCAATTCCAGCCAAGGACCCATGCCTGGGGTTGGCGGCTTGATCCCCAGTAGGGGGGCATGCAGGAGGCAGCCCACCAATGATTCTCTCTCACCATTGATGTTCTATCTCTCTCTCCCTCTCCCTTCCTCTCTGAAATCAATAAAAATATATTTTAAAAATAAATAAATAAACAAAAAAATAAATAAATAAATCCTATATAATAAAGAAGTAATACGCAAATTGACCCTAATGGCTAAACAACCTGGAATGACCAATCGCTATGATGCACACTGACCACCAGGGGGCAGATGCTCAACGCAGGAGCTGTCCCCTGGTGGTCAGTGCACTACCATAGGATGAGCTCTGCTCAACCACAAGCCAGGCTGACAGCTGCTAGTGCAGTGGTGGTGGCGGGAGACTCTCCTACCTCCTCGGCAGCACTAAGGATGTCTGAGTGGGAGCGGGCCGAAGCCACAGTAGACACCCCCCAAGGGCTCCCAGGCTGCCAGAGGGATGTCTGACTGCCAGCTTAGGCCCAATCCCCCAGGGAGTGGGCCTAAGCTGGCAGGTGGACATTCCCAAGGGGTCCTGGACTGTGAGGGGGCACAGGCAGGGCTGAGGGACCCCCTGGAGTGCACAAATTTTTCATGCCCTGGGCCTCTAGTAAATAAATGAAGTGTTTGAAAGGCCCTAAGTTTACATTTAGCTCTTATACAGTTGTGAGAAGTGCCTTTGGCCAGCAGGAAAAGTTTGGCCAAACACCTGTGCAGCCTCCAGAACTTACTGGTCCTCAATCTGCTGCTGGCGCTGGGTGATGCTGCCTGGTTCTTCTCGCCACCGCTGTGGGAGCGTAGGAAACTCATCGTGGGCCAGTTTCCTGACGTAGACAGCTGGCACGAAGCCCTGGTGATCCTCATGCTCCACCTTCCACCAGTCCTGAAGGGAGAGCAGATCCCCACTCCTGCTTTAGTTCTTGAAAAGGCCACAAACAGGAGACGGTTCAATTAAGTCCCTAAGCACAGACACAGGCTGATAGTCAAGGGAAGCGAACCATCACTTCTAGGAGGAGCATTATAATTTTCACTTATAACCAAAGAACTTACATACTTATATACATAGCCCATGGACATGGGCAACAGGGTAGTGAAGACCGAGGAGGGTAGGTAGGGGCTGGGAAGAGGGGGGAAAGGGGGAATGGAAAATACCTGTAATACTATCAACAATAAAAATATATTATAAAAAACAAAAGCTATTAATTTCATTGAGATGACAGTTAAGAAAAAAAAGAATGATTAGTTTTAGGAATTGAAGAAATAAGCTTCTGAAATCAAGAAATATGACATTTGATATTAGATCATTAACTTTGATAAGGTTTTTAAAAACCAAAGAGAGTTCTCTTTTAAAATTTTTATTTTGGAAAAGTGCTTCTTACAAAAGTCAGCTGTAAAATACAGGACTTGGTTTTTCTTAAAGAGAAAGGATGGGTGAGATCCAAGCAATCAAAGCAGTAGATGGGACAACCCAGGAGCATCTCCAAGTTATTTTCAGGAACCAGCAATAAAACACAAGCTAACTTTTCCAATCAACGAATCCTTCTAACAGTTTAGCTTGTCTCATGGATTACCAACCCCGCCCCCATTTAGTGGGAAAGCAAAATTTATCGTTGCAAACCAATGACTCCACGACAAGAAACACCTTAGAACACAGTTCTGAATCACATCTGTCTACCTGCAAAGCACAGGGATAGAATGAGGCAAATACCTACAAAAACAAGCACAAAGACCCCACAACAAAACCCCTCAAACGAGGACGAAGGTTTGCCCAAAGGTGCCTGAACTGGAGAGGATAAGAAATCATTAAGCATTAAATACAGCTGCGTATCCAAGATCTAGTTTGTATTAAGATATGGGATAACCAGCTAGTTTTACCCTCTGTGGCTAAGCCCATTTACTTAGACGGACAAAGCTAGCTATGCTTTAGTAACAGCTACCACCACACTGCTGTGTCCTGGCAGATCTGTCTGCCACGCTGGGCTAAGAACACTGCATCCTTGCAGGGATGAGAAGCTTACCACACGCTCCCCCTCCTACAAGCCAAGTCTATCAGCTCTTGGGAGTCAACCTCAATTCTGCATCTTCTTTATGCCAGTAAACCTTTCATACGTGTTCTTTCAGAATTTTCCTGTCATACTAAACACAGCAAAATTCTTAACACATTTGCACCTGGTTATGGTTACCCAGTAGTTATTACTTGCGAGTGATGAAATAAGAGACCAGAACCACAGAACAAGAGCACGGGGTGGGGAGTGCAGTAGGGAACAGAGATGAAAACACAGGTGTGCGGATTTCACCAGGAGCCTGACGTATCGGCCTCTATGGCTATAGCACAGGCTACTTGCCACAGTTCAGATCCTTCACCCATCACCCCTGCTCTCAGACCCCAGAGCAGGGCCAATGTTGTTACTTTTGAACCGGAGTCCTCAGAATGAGGGTGGCCAGCCCATAGACAACACCTTCTAACTATGTGAATCTGGTTGAAACCAGATGATGCGACAAAGCTGACAGTTAAGTTTGTGTTACCAAAAAATAAATAGATAAATAAATAGATAAATAAATAAATAAATAAATAAATAAATAAATAAATAAATAAATAAAAAATAACCTTAAGGTTTATTTGTGTAACTTTTTTAACCAAGGAAACAGCACTGGGAAAATGCTGACTGACTGAAACATGGATATCTGGCAGGGCTGTGGAGGAGCCCCTCTGTTGATGGGAAGAAGGTCAGAAGGAATATTCACCTTGTTGATGGAACTGAGCAGAGTTAAGACATCGTCTTTCTTCATGGTGACTTCTCGGTTGCTGCGGGCCTGGAAGTCATATAAAGCCACGACCCTCTCTTCTCGAGCTGCGCCCTCCACGGGGGCAGCCTGTTGCTGCTAAACAAGACCAGAAGAAGTCCATGTAAGTTACCCACTGGGATCATCTCTCTGTAGAACCTGACAGAGGGGTGGGGGGCGGGGGGCTCTCCCTGGGCCTGACAAGAGAAAGGAACCTCTGGTTGGAGCCTCTGACTTGGCTGACAGTAACAAAGAGATCTCACATGGCATTTTCAGAGATATTGCTCCATCCGAACACTTCTCGGGGGACAGGGAGGCTGGCAATGTGAACACATAGTGAGCAAGCGAGTGTGTATTGTGTTGGAAATATATTAAATGCTCTAAGCCATCAGTTCTTAAAGCAGATATTAAATCATTATACACATAATGTTTCAGAATATTATTTGAGAAATGTAAAGACCCATTACCTATCTCTCATCACCTTGTTCATTCTCTGGACCTCCACTAGCAATCCTCTAACCCTTTGACCTTTAAATTATTAGATCCCCATCCCTGGTCTGACACAACCAATTGATGTGTCTCTATCACATCGATGTTTCTCTCTCTGTGTCTCTCCCCCTCCCTTCCACTCTCTCTAAAAGTCAATGGGAAAATATCCTCGGGTGAGAATTAACAACAACAAAGACTACAATTTTCCTAAAAATTTGGATTGTTTTTATTCATGTTTGCTTATGGTAGACATTTAATAAGTGTTGGTATAGGAAAAGACTAATAAAGGAAGAAAAGGAATCAAGAAGAAATATATGAGGAAGAGATGCAAACAAGAGATAATAAAAAAAAAGAATAGTGAAAATATACACAGAAGGAAAGAGGAAAGTGAAAAATAACACTTATCTAGAAATTCTTATGGACTAAATCTTTGTAGATGCTATGAAGATGCTACAATTTTCGTACATAGGATCATAGAACTTACTATTTTCTTTGCAATAATTTCCTGGATTATGGAAAGTAAAACCCAGTAACTAAGAGAATTTCTCTTTCTTTGTTGTGGGCATTGTGATTCTTGTCATCCCTTTTCCTTACCTGGCAGGCTTCTGCCTGATCCCGTAGAGCTTGCATACTGTTTCCAAATGCATTGAGATCCACTAGGAAGGCTTCGTGCTTCTTCAGAAGAACCTGGGTTTGTTGATGAGAAAATCATGAGAAGCAATCCACAGAGGTCCGTAAGACCCCTGGGGGTGTTTCAAGCATTACTCTGGGTTATCCTGATTGACCTAATTCCTGGCAAAAGACATTTTCTATTTAATATAAATGTTTTAACCCTAAATTAGCAAGTACAAGAAAATAGAAATTAAAAAATAAATAACTCCAAAGAGGACACACAGATGGCCAAGAGACATATGGAAAGATGCTCAAAGTCACTGATCACCAGGGGGATGCAAATTAAAACGACAAAGAGATATCGCCTCACACCTGTAGCATCAATAAAACAACAAACAAGCGCTGGTGAGGATGTGAAGAAAAGGGAACCCTCGTGCACTGCTGGTGGGAATGCAGACTGGTGCAGCCACTATGGAAAACAGTATGGAATTTACTAAAAAAATTAAAAATGGAACTACAGTTTGCCCAAGTGATCCTGCTTCTAGGAATATATTCTAAGAAGCCTGAAACACCAACCACATCAGTAAGAACATATGCACCCCTATATTCATAGCAGCACTATTTACAGTAGCTAAGATATGGAAATAGCTTAAGTTCCAATCAGTAGATGAGTGGATAAAAAGCTGTGGTCCATTTACACCAGGGAATACTATGCAGATGTAAAAAAGAAGGATTTCTTACCCTTTGCAACAGCATGGAGGGACCTGGAGAGTATTAAGCTGAGTGAAATAAACCATCAAAAAAGCCAAATGTCACATGACCTCACTTACAAGTGGAATCTAGTGAACATAATAAACTGATGAACAAAAGAGGTCCAGAGACATGAAGACATGGAACAGACAACCTCTGGCATGTCCCAGAGAGTGGAGAGGGGAGACAGGAAGAGATTAACCGACGAACTCATATACATATATGCATAACCAATGGACACAAACAATAGTGTGGTGAAGGCCTGGGGTGGAGCAGGCCTGGGAGGAGGGGGTAAAAGTGGGGGAATTCAGGGGACAAACTGTAATACTGTCAAAAATAAATAAGTAAATAAATAACAATTTCAATGTATTTGCTTCAATCAACATGAAGTCAAAAGTGCACAAGCATTTTATCAACACACATCATAGCTAAAGGATGCTGCTGCTGATACTGCTACTTTGTAGGATTAAACATTCGTATAAATTTAGATGCTCATTTTAATTCTTGCCCTAAACGTTTATGAAATACTATATTGTATTCCCACAGGACAATGAGCAAGGCAAAGAAATTGATATAAAAGTTAACATGATCTTTGATTTTTTTTTCTTGTCCCGAGATGTCTGTCTGATTTTATTTCAGAAAAACTATTAAAGGTGACTAATGCTTAAAACTATGGTTGATTTGTGAAATCTGAAGGTTACTCTGGGAAATTGAAGCTGGGACGAAGACAGGCAGGGATCTCTAGTCATGCCTCTTTGACTTTAAATTACCTCTAGGAAATCCACAGCTTTCTGTGGGATTAGGAAAATGTAAAGTATCTTTTAGGATCTCTGCCAGCGCTGAGGGTATCAGGTGAAACCCCAAAGCTATCATATCACTCTGAAATACCCGAATAACCTAACAAAACCTGTAAATGTCCCACAAATCAACTTGGTGAACACTAGACAACGTCCATCCCCATGTCTGCCTTACCCCAGCTGCTTCTTCATCAGCCCCATAGTTAGTGTTGTCTACAATGGGCTCCTTCTCTCTAATCCATGCCTCTGCCTCATGCAGGTCGGCCAGGTACTGCTGGAACTGGACATTGGCCTCAAGATCGTTCTGCCGTCTGGCAGCTCGACCTTGGAGAGACTCCATGTTCTCATTCAAGCTCTTGACCCGGGAGGCCACATCTTCTGCAGCGAAGTGTCCTATGGAGCAGATAGAAAAGGTTAGTGTGACCCTCGTTGCCATTCACTACAATTAATCCTTTTGGTGATCTTGGGGAGAGAAAGGGAGGTGTGAGGATGATGCTTGATGTACTCAATCTGCCATTTTACCTAAATTTCTGGAAATTAGAATGCTGAATGCTAATGCGGGATAGATGTGTATGTGTGGTGGTGTAAGTGTGTTTACATGGTGGTTAATTGGGTGCTATGTTCTGTTATACAGACCTGAAAACAAAATACCCGTGTGTGGGTGCTACTCAATGTTGCAAAAACATGTATTCTCTAGACTAAACAGAAAATTCAACATATTTCCATTTCTGTCTATAAAGGATGTATTACTACAGGAATTGTTCTGCACCTAAACGATTAGAAAACAGGACAGAAAACTATAAAATGCAATGATTTTCAGACAATAGGGGGAGGATTGTGACTCCTGAGAGAAGGAGAAGAAAGGAGGCGTGACCTATGACTGCCATAGTGTATGCCTGGGTTTCTAGACTGTAGCATTGGGGGTGGGAGGAGGTGGAAGGGGGAGGGGTAACCCAGACAGAACTAGCGATCACACTGAGTGGGGGAGGCAGAAATGAGTTATGGGAAGACAAGACAGGTAGAGCCTGTGGAACCCAGTACTGAACTGAAGAGAAAAGTGCTGCCCAGAGAGGTCCCTTAGGGCAGGGGTGGGAACATTTTTTCTACCAAGGGCCATGTGGATATTTCTAACATCATTCGAGGGCCATACTAAACTATCAAATTAAAAATGAGCCTGCTGTATTTGGTCAAACATTTAATTAACTCACCCCTAATGCCTTGGCAGGGCTAGACCCAATGATTTCTTGGTCCTTATATGGCCTGCAGGCCAGATGTTCCCCACCCTTGCCCCAGAGGATGAAGTTGATTAGTCTTAAAATTTAATTCTAGGATTCCTTTATTATTTTAAATATTATTGGGGACCACTTTAAGTTTTTTCATATATGGTTATATGTATGGGTAATTGCCATATCAGAAATCAAAACAGAAAACATTTAAATGTATACACAAATATATATTCAATTAGCCATTAGACCCCACAAATCTTCACTGTACACTTGTGAAAGAATGATTATTAAAAAGGCAAATGTCTTAGCATGATGATGAAAACCATAAAACAAACTTAGAGAATCACTACCCTAGAATAAAACACATGAATGTACACACACACACATACCATGGGACTACAGCTAATAAACAAAGAGAGATAGTAAATAAAATTATAATAAATATACTGCTAATCCAAAGAAAGCAGAAACTGATGGACAAAGGAAAAAATATCAAAATGTTACATTTAAATTTATCCATATTGATAATTGCTTTAAATGTAAGTGGTCTAAATATTCCAATTGAAAGGAAAGATGACCAGATTGCATAAAATAAAAACAAAATCTAAGTATATGCTGCCTATAAGTAATCTGCTTTATTCATTCACGGGAGCCATGCTAATCTTCTCTGCATTGTTCCGATTTTAGTGTATGTGCTGCTGAAGCGAGCACGATAAAAACTCTGCTGTAATATAAACAGAGTGCTTCAAGCAAAAGGATGGAGAAATCCATATTATGCGAACAAAGACACTTAGAGTGGCTATGCTAAAGTTGTCCTAAGTAGCCTTTAGGGCAGGGGTCCTCAAACTTTTTAAACAGGGGGCAGTTCACTGTCTCTCGGACCGTTGGAGGGCCGGACTATAGTTTAAAAAAAACTATGAACAAATTCCTATGCACACTGCACATATCTTATTTTGAAGTAAAAAAACGAAATGGGAACAAATACAATATTTGTATTTGCATGTGGCCCACGGGCCATAGTTTGGGGACCCCTGCTTTAGGGTAACACCACGGATAATGAGGGCTATAACATAATGTTAAAAATTTAAATTCATCAGGAAGACATAACAAGCTTATATACATGAATCTAATAACAGGGCTTCAAAATACATGAAACTAAAAGAAATGAAAGAGAAATAGATAAAATTCACAATTACAGCTAGAAATTAAAATACTAAGACAAGTCACTATAGTAAAATAGAAATACCAAACAAACATTTTTAGGTTTGAATCACTCAATTGTGCTCTAAAATTTTGCTCAGCATACTTTTAAACTATACTTTTGATAGCTGGATACTGGCAGCAATTTATTTTTGAGTCAATAGAGGGAGAATCCTGATTTAGTCTGCGTTGGTTATACCACACCTGGTATATGATATTTGGTTCTGAACAACATTTAACCAGTAGGGGTTTGTGAAGATGGGGGACCAGGAAGAGGAAACACATTGAGACAATTAAAGCAAAAAATGTGAAGAAGTGGTGCTACTTACTATCATGATTATAAGACAGTGGGAACTCAGACATGTCTTTATAGACTTGGAAGTTCCCATAGGGGAAAAGTATTTGATTTGTTTTATGGGGTTTGGACCTTAAATTTTGAATTTTATAACTCTTACAGAAAATTATATTGATTATTAGGGTAATGTACTTTATTTTAATAATTTTGGCTTTACGGAACAATAGAAATGAGGTAGAGTTTCCTGTTATTAGCATATACAAACATTGTGTCTGTCAGAAATGCCCAGGGGGAATTTCTGTATTAGATGGTAAGGTGGATCTGGTGTCTTTACGTTCCCTTAAATCCCTAGAGTTTGGCATAGGGATGATGGTTGGACTCAATCTGAATCATACATACCTTCCTCCACCATCTTGTTTCCCCGATCTGTTATCACTCGGATGCGTGGCTCATGGCTGGCAATGTCAGCCTGGATGACTTGGTGTCTATTCAGAAGATTCTTTGATGTAATCAGGTCCTTGCCTACAGAGAAAAAACAAGTTTAAGGTCTGGGATTGTTGTAGTGTATGCAATAAGAAGAGGCTACCCTACTCTTGAATCTACAAGTTCTCTCCTTTGAGGTTCTAATCACTGAGTGGGCTTGTTGAAATCTGTATTATTTGTCTGAGTTAACTCTGCTCAGTTTTGTTATTCCCCTTGCCCCTCTGTACTAAGAAAATTCAATTCTTTCCCTAACAAAAAATGATAAATAAATCACCATTCTCTTTGGAAGATAGGAGAAAGGCAAATAACTTTCCAGATCAACTTCCAATATTATGCAACTGATTTTCTTTCAAAATATTGTGGTACAAAAATCAGGGTCTTCCGCTTCTAATTTCCATGGGTGTCAAGGAGTTATTAAATCCTCTAAATTTAGTTTTTTTCACCATAAAATTGGCACAATGTTAGCTGTTTTAAATTTTTGTTTGTAAGGATTAGATATAACATAAAAAATGTCTCACTCATAGCTTAACATTAATCAGATTTTTAAAAAAATATGTTTTTATTGAATTCAGAGAGAGGAAGGGAGAGGGAGAAAGAGATAGAAGCTTCAATGAAGAGAAAGAATCATCGATTGGCTGCCTTCTGTATGCCCTCTACTTGGGATTGAGCCTGAAAACCGGGTATGTGCCCTGACCAGGAATAGAACCATGACCTCCTGGCTCATGGGTTAGACTTAACCACTGCACCACACCGTCTGGCTCATTGCTTATCATTACAAAGCACATAATAAATCTTATGTCTTATTAATTTCCTCCATCTTCCTAGATCCCTAGTGAATCCTCACTGTCTCCCATCCACGCTTCACCTCCTTTTCCTTCAAAATTTCCTTTCTTATACTTCACACTAAATGCCTCTCTAGAAACTTTCTATGCCCGTTCACCTTTCAAAGAGATCCTTCTCTTCTCGGAAGTTTTCCCAGACTAGCCTTCCATTGCCACCATTGTCTCTAGACCCTTATAGATGTTCCCAATGTGTGCATATTAAGTTTACATTATATTTATGTCCACTTTTTTCTCTATTTCAATGCAAGTGTCCTGGCACTGACAATGGTAAACTGATAGCTTCCAGAGAAAAAGGAAATGTGTCCTTTATCTGCTACTTCACCCCTTTTATGTTTGTAATAGCTCATTTGGTTATAAAAGGGATTCATCAACAATCTAGACAAAAACTCTTGGTACCTCAAACACTAACCATGCCTGCTCAGCCAAGAACCTTGGCAATAATCTAAGTTAGAGCAAGTAGCCAAGAGCAGAGCACTTTAGCTTCCAAAAGACCTTAAGTTCACGGCTCTGCTCATGTCGATTTTAGGACATAAACTTTTAAGTTCAAATTTTTCAAACAATTTCTTACGGAAGATTGGAAGGAGCTGAGAGCAAGCTTTGCCCCACCCTCTATTGTATCCCAGATCCTTCAAACAATCTGCAGGCCTGGGGGCTCTGCTTTATGGCTCCACCCGCTCAGCCTGCACTAACCCAGCAAGGTGGAGGCTGCTGAGGGTTCGGTCTCTTGGATCCAGGCCTCCTCATCCTCGGTGTCTCTGCAAATCTGCTGCAGGCGAAGAATGTCAATGAGCTTCTTCTTCCGGGTCGCCAGCGGTTCCTTCAGGGCTTCAAACCGGGACACCAGGGACGCCTGCCGTGCCCGTATGTCCCCAGCATCGGGATGGCCGGTTTCTTCAAAATACGTCGCCAGGTCTGTGATGGTGTCGACTTGTTCCTAAGGAAGACATTGGATGTGTGTCGGGAAACCCTGCCGTTCAGTAGAAAGGGATGAGGGTTCGGTGAGAGGCCGGCCGTGGAGAGAATCAGCCCCATTATGTACTGTCTTAGGACTTCTAATCAAATCAGTGAACTCGGGTTGCTGCTTTGAGGACCATTTCATCTATCTAAAAGAGCGATTTGTGGAAAGTAGCTTTCAAACCCCATTTGAGAAAGGACTAAATATTGATGGTGTGTGCCAAGGAAAGCAGAGATACCAGAGCTATAGAACCTAAACTGTGTGGGACTATTGGTAAGTTTGGTCCTAAGGAAAATGGTGCCTGGCTTTTTCAATCTCAGTTCCCCTTTCATCCTCTTCATCTCCCTTTAAAATGAGCTGTAATTGTAAGTAACACAGACACTTCTGAGGCTGAAGTCTGTTGCATAGCAGGAATGATTCCTATGAGATGACATGTGATGTCACAAAACAAATGTCAAAACCTCAGAAGAAGTAATGTAAAGGCACGCCTTGGTCAATACCCAGTTACGTAAAATGGAAGAAATCACAGTCCTCATTTGAGCCATTATCTAAGAAAGGAGAAATACAGAAACCGGGTTCCAAAAGATCTCCCTGGAAAGAAAATTTTAGTTGTATTTCTATATGCTATAGATACACAAGATGTGTTCCTTCTTATTAGTGAGGCCAACTATAAATGGCCTGGCAGAAGCAAGTAGATAGGATTTTTGTTTGTCTGCTTGTTTTGCCTTTTTGCTGGAGTAGGGGAAAGAGGTACATAAGGAAACTTCTTCTGGTGGTTGATGGAGACTTCACTTGGGGTGGAGAATGCACAATACAGTGTACAGATAATGCGTTGTGGAATTGTGCACCTGAAACCTGTATGATTTAGTTAACCAGTGTCACCCCAATGAATTCATTAAAACATAAATAAAAATAAAAAATTACAGAGTGCACAAAAAAAGTTCTTCAAGAGGTAAATGAACAGTAAGCGCTGGTTTTACTTATTCTATTTTGATATCCAATTCTCAACCTATAAAGGTTTTGATATATCTTGCCTCAATTTGGAACAAACCATTAACCACCAATAGCTTCTTAAAACATATACAGACTTATTCATAAAATAGTAAAAGCTCCTTAAAGAATTAAAATTAATATCTCTCACTAGCCAACTCTTTTCATCTCTTAGGATACTTTAACTTTGGAAAACATCAGAGTGATTTTGAAACATCATAATTATCATCATCGTTATGGATCTACTGCATTATTTGAAAACCTCTGTGTTGTTGAAGATGCCCAGACTAAGAAGATAGAAGCTGTAACTTCTATTCTTGGCTGCCAGTCAGTTGCCACTTGATCTTGGAAAAGCCCTTTTACCTACTTTAATTTTAGTGTCCTCGTCTATAGAATAAGGATTTGGGGCTAGAGGGCATTTAAGATCCTTTCTAACTATAATATTCCCTATTTGAAATTTCTTTTGCAAGCGTATATCTTAGCCTCTTTCCCAGCCAAGAGAACCAATTCCTGGTGAGTAGATGCCCTAAATTTCCTCAAAGGATCACATATTTATTACATTTATTATGTATTTACAGATGCTGTTCTTCTTCTTTGTGTGTTTTTATCTTTCATCAAATCCTTTGTAAATCTGCTCCAAACTTTCTCCCTCTATGTTAGATTTCAAGCCATCTTCACACAGTTTGTATTTTTCTATCCCCAGCCTTTTATTTCAAGCTCCATCAAGTCATTCTTAGAGCCGTATAAATGATTGCGTTTATTTTGTTTGCTCTGTCTTCTGTAGATTGTTCTTTCTTTCCCATTTCACCCAAAGTGACCAAAAAGTAAATATCATAAAAGTGTATTTTAACAAGACAGATTAGTGAGACCTTCTAGGAAACAGCAGAATCATTTTAAACACAAGATAAGATTCCCAAGGTTGAAAAATTGAGTCGACTGGAATTGAATTTCCATTAACATTTCTGGAAACTCATATGTACAATGTCTATAGTCTAGAAACTTGCTAGATAAATGTATTTTAAATAACAGTCTGGGGGTGCTTCAAGGGGGTGTAACTTGAAATTAAGAGCCTAGACATCTGTATGATAGTCCTGGCCCTGGTGTTAATTTTCTCTGTGAAGTCATGTTACTTGTACAGGTTTCAATTTTCTAAACTAAAACAAAAAACAAACCTGGTAGGATGAAAGATATGTTCAAGCTTTGAATTGCAGAATGCTCAAACAAGAAGAGGCAATTTTATCTAAACCCTTATTTTATTGGTGAGGATACAGAGGTGTGAAAAGTTGAAAAGACACACCAAAAATCATATAACTAGCAATTGGCAGGCTATATATATACATAATCCATGATTCTGGATTGAGTGTGCAGTATTATATCAAGAAAAGTCAATAAAGCCTTATATCAGCCACAGTGTTCTGACAAGAGACACCAGGCAACCAGGAGAATGGCTATATAAAAGGAAATATTGGGAAGAGGCTGTTTACCAACTAAAATCTTGAATTTTTACCTTTAATTTCTTGATCTCTTTCTCTTAATAATAATCAGATGTGATGAGTTTGGTCAGGGGATATACAGGTGCTTTGGCCTACAACTGGTAAAGAGCTAGCAACAAACCTGACGAGCAGCCACACCAGACTCCAAGAAGTTGTGTTTCTTAAGTAGATTTTGTACATCAGCCAGGCCTTTCCCATAATCCTCCGAACTGGCCTGCCATTCCACCTCCTCCAGCCAGCGCTTCAGGTCTTCGGCATTATTTTCAAATTGCAGCTGCTGGTTAGCTTCAAACAACTGGGTCCCTGGGAAAAGACATCAAGTATAAGACAGGTACCGTCACTGCTTCTCATGACAAATAATATACCTTCCACCCACTTAAGCAGAAATATATTTTGATAATCCAATGAAAAAAATAACTCATATAACATTATACAAGAAATCACCTTAAATGTGTAGAACTTCTTGGTATTTGTTTTCAAATAAAGTAATGTTCCCAAGACAAAGAAAAACAATAAATTAATCCCCAGTGAGGTCCAGGGCTGCTGTGTTCGATTTTAAACAGCTTGGGTGTTTTCATATGTCATTTCTTGCTCTCCATTGAGACCTCCTTTTCAAGGGGTTTTAAACCCCAACACTGCATTTTCCAAGAGAAGTGTAACACTTGGGGTTGGCTCAGTTTACAATTTTTTTTTCTTATTTTATTGATTTTTTACAGAGAGGAAGGGAGAGGGATAGAGAGTTAGAAACATCGATAAGAGAGAAACATCAATCAGCTGCCTCCTGCACACTCCCTACTGGGGATGTGCCGGCAACCAAGGTACACGCCCTTGACCGGAATCGAACCTGGGACCCTTCAGTGTGCAGGCCGATGCTCTATCCACTGAACCAGACCGGTTAGGGCTCAGTTTACAATTTTGAAGTGTCTTTTAATAAATGTCTTTCTCAGAACTTTGTTGGCCCCTCTTAGTGCCTGTCCTTCATCACAAACCGTGCACCACAACTTTCTCTTCCAAAAAAAGTCTTGATTATGCACACTGTTCCCTGATAAACTTTTCATTATATGAACTTATAGCAATTATTTACATTATTTCTGTGTAGCAATTACTGTATGGCGATTTCTTATTGTTACAGCCAAGTTGGATTTCCCCCCTACTTTTCAGAATGACATCAAACAAAATCAATATGATCCCTTCTCTAACCAGGACAGAGCCATGTCCACAGAGCATGTTCAGAACAAGGAGAATATTAATAAGAGAACCTCATTATTTGTGTTAATTATAACTGATTATAATTAACCTAGAGAAAACTGGCCTAGAGGTCACCAGGTAAATTCAATGTTAGTAGAAACATTCAAGTAGATATGTGGGAGTTTTTAAAAGAGCTCATTGCGGCCGAAACCGGTTTGGCTCAGTGGATAGAGCGTCGGCCTGTGGACTGAAAGGTCCCAGGTTCGATTCCGGTCAAGGGCATGTACCTGGGTTGCGGGCATATCCCCAGTAGGAGATGTGCAGGAGGCAGCTGATCGATGTTTCTCTCTCATCGATGTTTCTAACTATCTCTCTCCCTTCCTCTCTGTAAAATATCAATAAAATATATTTAAAAAAAAAAAAAAAGAGCTCATTGCAGAGCCTGAATACTTCAAGATAGGTAAAAAACAAACAACAACAAAGTCATCAAGCCCTTTTTATAAAAATAAAATATTGTAGAAATACATTTGGCATCGACAATCTTTTAATGTTTAATTTACCTGGGTTATAATATCTTGTCTATAGAACCAAAACCTTAATTTAAGGACACTAGTGTTAAGTGCATAGACAATACAGAATTCATGGTTGCTGAATATTTATCAAGAAAAATTTTAGCCCAAGCCGGTGTGGCTCAGGGCATAGAGTGTTGGCCTGTAGACTGAAGGGTCCAGGTTCTATTCCGGTCAAGGGCACATGCCTGGGTTGTGGGCTCCATCCCCAGTGCAGGAATGTGCAGGAGGCACACAATCAATGATTTTCTCTCATCATTGATGCTTCTATCTCTCCCTCTACCTTCCTCTCTGAAATCAACAAAATATATATTTTAAGAAAAGAAAAAATTTAAAAAGTGAATAAAACAAAAGAAGTTTCAGTAAAAAACTACATGCATGAAGAAAACATAAAATTTGTAAATATATAGTGTGATAAATTTAGGTTGGACTTTGGAAACTTCTTGACTAATGGAGGAAGACACAGGGAAGCAGATGAGTAGCATCTTTCCCATAGAGGTCACCAGGTAAATTCAAGGAGGTGAAGATGAACGTGAGAGGTTTCAGAATTTAAGAATTAGCCTTTCAACAAAACCTCTCCTTCTTACCTTTCTGCGCTGTCGACTCCAGCAATTGTTCCCACAGGCTGGCGACTTCGGCCAGCCGAGCAGCCACACTGTCAGCGGCGTAGTGGCCACCCTCAATCATCTCCTGGCCAGTCTTCTCTAGATTACTGAGTAGGATCTTATTAGCTGCCAATTCTTCTTCAAAGACTTGCTGCTTTTGAACCCGGCTCTTCAAGTTCTGTGTATCCTGAGACAAGGCAAAAAATATAAAATAAAATAAAATAATAAAATAAAATAAATTAAACAAAATCATTACTTAAAAAATGAGGGAGAAACATTTTGAGTACAGGGGTTACTTCTCACTATGTCCTAGGGAGAAGAGAGAAGACAGAACTGTCCTTGTCCTAGTACAAACTCAGAGAATGCTTAGAAAACTCATGTAACTAATTTTCCCTTCTATATATGTGGCAGACATAGCTAATCAATCCCTAAAATTATTTCTACTGAGCCTGGAATTGTTTTGAACACGACACCTCACACAAGAAATAACAATCAATCAGAGCTGTCATGAAGGATGAAAATTAAGGTCCATTTCTGTCCTAGTATATCTACCACCCATCCTTTTGCCCCATGTAGAAGAGATGTTTACCCTAAATGCACCAGAACCATAACTCCTCTAGAGAACACAAACAGATGGTGCAGAATTTTACAGAAAGAATAAAAGGTTCAGATAAGGTAGTAATTCTAATCCTATTTAATAAAAGCCCAGAGGCGGAACGACCGAACAACCGGTCAACCAGTCACTATGAAGCTCACTGACCACCAGGAGGCAGACCCTCAATGTAGGAGCTGCCCTCTGGTGGTCAGTGCGCTCCCACAGTGGGAGTGCTGCTTGGCTGACCAGGATGAGTGGTGCTCCCACAGCAGGCTGATCCCCACAGGCCACGCCCCCCCACCAGTGCACAAATTTCATGCACCGGGCCTCTAGTAGTTCTATAAAGATATATGAACAAAAGGATCTGAGGTATACATTTAAGACTAAATGATAATATAGGAATTTCCCAAAGAAGCCCAAGTTCATCTCCAAAATTCATGCCTCTAACCCCCTTATTTTAAATTGCCTTCTAAATAATTGGATAACTTTGGTCAACTGACTTCACAATTGGCTTTCTCATCTATAAAAATAGAGGTTGTTCCCTTCAAGTTATAAAACTCTATGTCTATATTATACCAAACCCTTAGGTTACTTTTGAGCTCCAAATAGCTTCCAGGAAATGTGAGTGTACATTAGGATTAAACACAATGTTTTTCTCCATTAAGGGAGAAGAGGGGAGCAGTAGAGGTGATAAAGGGACAACAAAGAGCTCAGTAAGGAGCAGTCCCTCCTTTACACCATTCTATCAAGGCCCACTGGAAATTCTGTGCTAGAAAAAAAAAAAGGGTGATGGGCAGCAGGGTATACGAAAACCAGAAACTAGATTCTTGGCTCTTCTCTATATGTATAGCCTCAGGGGAACCATTGCCCTTCTCCGAGACTCTGTCTCCTCATCTGTAAAGTGAGGCTTACTAACTGAACCCTGTAGTCCTTTCAGCTTTAAGACTCTAATTCCACAAAACTAACAAATCCCAATGAATATGTCCAGGGCTGGGAAACCCTGCCTACCTTATAATCTTCATCATCTGCCAGCTTTTTCTTCTTGTTGATCCAGTTCTTCAGGTCATCTGAGTCCTGATACAGTTGCTGCAGAAGCAGGGAGTCCTCCAGCAATCTGCGCCGAGTGGCAGCCCTTTCACGTAGGGCATCCCGGCGAGCCAGCAGCTGCAAAACCAGGAGCAAACTCATTGTCAACTCAACCAAATGTGGACACAGGAAACTCACTGTTCACATGGGTCACCATGCCCCCAACACTTTCCCTGACCGGGTGCTCAGACAAGCACAGATGAGCCCTTGAACATACCCCATCCCGGATAGAAGCGATGTTCTCTGAATCATAATGATCATTGTCAATCAGTTTGGTTGCAGTCTTGTCTAATGTCTGAAAAACAAAACAAAAGAACACAGGATTGTTTTAACTCAGTGACCATCCATGAGTATGTGGCCACAGTTTGGGTAGCTATTTAAAGAAGGAATCATGGTAACATGGAAAGAGGTCCTAACTCTAATTTCTGTTATAAATTATATTTTAAAATGTAGACCTTAGTTCTATTATAAAATTTTTTGAGAACCTCTATGCTGTTTTCCATAGTGGCTACACAATCTGCATCCCCACTAACAGTGCAAGAGAGTTCCCTTTTCTCCGCATTCTCTCCAACCCTTGTTTGTTGTTTGTCCGCAAGAGAGTTCCCTTTTCTCCGCATTCTCTCCAACCCTTGTTTGTTGATTTATTGATGATAACCATCTGATAGGTGTGAAGTGATATCTCAATGTGGTTTTAATTTGCATATCTCTGATGATTAGTGAGGGTAAACATCTTTTTATATGAGTGTTGGTCATCTCTATATTGTCCTTGGAGAGTGTCTATTCAGGTCCTCTGCTATTTTTTAATTGGATTGTATGTGTGTGTCTGGTGTTTTTGTTTTGTTTTGTTTTGTTTTGTGTGTTTTTTTGTGATTCCATACAAATCTGATCTGTTGCTCTATTTCTTTAAAAAGTGCTATTGGGATTTGATGGCATTAGCTATGTATATGGCTTTGGGAAATATTGGGCCATTTTATCTATGTTGATTTTTCCAATCCATGAACATGGAATATCTTTCCACTTCTTTGAGTCTTTTTCAATTTCTTTTATCAACGCTTTGTAGTTTTCAGTGTTTAGATCCTTCATATCCTTTGTTAAGTTCATTCTTAGTATTTTTTTTTTTCTTCATTGCAATTGCGAGATTGTTTTCCCAATTTCTTTTTCTGAAATTTCATTTTTAGAATATAAGAGTGCAATAGCATTTTGTATATTGATTATGTATCCTGCAACTTTACTGCATTTGTTTATTGTTTCTACTGTGTTTTTGGTGGAATTTTTATATTAAAAAATCATGCCATCTGTAAAAGTGACAATTTTACTTCTCCATTCCCAATTTGGTTGCCTTTTATTTTTTATCTTGCCTTATTGCTCTGACTGGGACTTTCAGTATTATTTTGAATTAAAAGTGGTGAGAATGAATATTTTTTCTTGATCCAAGCATTTAATTCATTTACATTTAGAGTGAATATTGATAGAGATGTAGTTATTGTCATTTTATTATTTATATTTATCTTCCTTTTCTCTTTCTTCTTCTCCTTCTCCTTCTTCTTCTTTTCTCTTCTAGATGTCCCTTAACATTTCCTATAATACTAGTTTGGTGGCGATAAACTCATTTAGCTTTTCTTGCCTGAGAAACTCTTTATTTCTTCTTTAATTTTAAATAATAGTCTTGTTGGATAGACTAGTCTTGGTTGTAGGTTCTTGGTTTTCATCATTTTATATATTTCATGATAATCCCTCCTGGCCTGAAAAGTTTCCGTTGAGAAATCAGCGGAAAGTTTTGTGGGAGCTTCCTTGTGGGTAACTAAATGCTTTTTTCTTTTCTTTTTTTTAAAATATATTTTATTGATTTTTTACAGAGAGGAAGGGAGAGGGATGGAGAGTTAGAAACTTCAATGAGAGAGAAACATCGATCAGCTGCCTCCTGTACACCCACTACTGGGGATGTGCCTGCAACCAAGGTACATGCCCTTGACCGGAATCGAACCTGGGACCCTTCAGTCTGCAGGCTGATGCTCTATCCACTGAGCCAAACCGGTTAGGGCCTAAATGCTTTTTTCTTGCTGCTTTTAAGATTCTCTCTTTGTTTTTAACTTTTGCCATTTTAATTATGGCGTGTTTTGGTGTGAGCCACTTTAGGTTTGTCTTGTTTGATACAGGCTATGCTTCCTGGAAATGAATATCTTCTTCCTTCACCAAGTTAGGAAAGTTTTCAGTCATCAGTTTTTCAAACAGATTCTAAGCTCTTGCTCATTCTTCTTTTTCTCACGATGCCCCTATGATGTGGATGCTGTTGTGCTTGATGTTTTTTTTAGGTCTCTTAAATAATCCTCATTTTGTTCTGTTTTGTTTGTTTTTCTGATTGGGTGTTTTCTGTTACCTTGTCTTCCAAATCATTGATTCGATGCTCTGCTTCATCTAATTTTCTGTTGATTTCTTCTAGTGTGTTGTCCATTTCAGTTATTGTATTCTTTGTATCTGACTAGTTCTTTTTTATGGTTTCTATGTGCTTTTCATGCTATCTCTTTGTTGAAGTTCTCACTGAATTGACCTATTTTTCCTCTAAGTTCTTTAACCATCCTTAAAATCAGCATTTTGAATTCTATATCTGATAGAGTGCTTGCATCCATTTCATTTGGTTCCTTTCCTTGAGATTTTTTTTCTGTTCTTTCATTTGGGATATGTCTCTTTATCTCCCCATTTTATCTGTCTCTGTGTGTTTGTTTCTGTGTATTAGGTAGATCTGCTATGCCTCTCAGTCTTGCTGGGTGACCTGTGTATTTGGTTGTTCTTTGGGGCCTAGTGATACATCCTCCTCAATCACCTGAGCCAGGTACTCCAGGTTGTCCCTTGTGTGGGTTGTGTGTGCCCTTCTGTTGTAGTTGAGCCTTAATTGCTATTGGTACATCAGTGATTCAGAATGACCCTTAGACTGGCTAGCTGTTAGGAATGGCTCCTGTGCAGGGGCTGACGCCATGGAGCGGGATTTGTCCCTGTGGAATTTGGTGCCTATAAAGACCTCCTTTCAGTGTACCACTTGTAGAGCTAATTGGTGGTTTTAAACTGGTCGCACGTGTGTTGTTTCTGTGATTTCTTTGAAGGAACTGCAGTGTAGATCAGTGTTAGATGCTGCGGTAACTGTCCCAGGGCTACCTGTTAGGAAGAACAAAGTGATCTGCAGTTGAAGGCTGCCTGTACTTGGCCTGGATGCATATGGGAGGGGGCACACTGCCAAGTGAGGACAGCTTCCACCAGCATCAAGCCTGAGGCAGGTCAGCCAAAGGTCTATGGCACCAAAGCCTGCTGCCACCAGCCAGTTGCCCATATGTCTGTAGAGGTAAATTTTTTCATATATTTATTCATGGACCCCCCCACCCCCCGCCACCAAGAAAAAAAACCTGCTAGAGTGAAAGATGGATTAATTAGATCATAATAGGAAAATACTCTAAAATAAATAATCTAAAACATTTTATAACTAATAAAATTATTTTATACTATTTGCTTTTACCAATGAGAATAAACCAAAGAATTATATGTCTGATGATTAACAAAAGATTTATATGTCTGATGATTAACAGGGAAGACTTAGAATTTGATTGTTATTTTAGTTATTGCAATGATGGTGGCATGTGTGCCTACGTGTGACTTTCAATCAGTACCATCCTAGGAGACAGCCAAAGTACAATATATTGGACCCACAAAAACTTTCTTACATTTCTCTGGGCTCTGCTTATATATTGACCAGTTTTCCTAGATATTGTAACTTACTGTTCACAGGAAAATTGTAGTAACATTAAGTGAGAAATACAAAGGTAAAGATATGCTTATAAAGAAAAATAAAACATTATTTACTTATTGGGGTTTTTTTTTTCCCTGCTCTATTACTAGAAAGGAAAAAAATTAAAATAATGCATTTCAAACTATGGATATAATAGTTTCTATTTATACTGAAGAAAAAAAGACAATCATTTACTTGATTAAAAAAATGTCATAAATACTTTAAAAATTCTAATTATTTTTTGTGGAACAAATACTGTATTGGTAGAAATTGGTATAATTATTTTTCTGGATGTTTTCTCTTAAGAATAATTCTCATGTTATATCTAATAGTTACAAGAGTGATTCTCCCTAAGGATAAGTGTTGGAGGTTATGATATTTATAAACATGAAGCCAATACCTAAACCAGGGCCCATTTCTTACCGTGATCTTTTCTTCCTGGGCAGTGAAGGCTTCTTCAAAGTCATCATGCTTCTGAAGAAGGGTCTCTACAGCACCCAGAGAGTTTCCCAGATCCTCATTCTCCAGGAAAGCCTATAGGAGACAGAAGGACACACTGCGCTGTACCTGATTGGTGAAAAACATGCCTTTGGAATATCTCTGAGACAAGGACCAAGGAAGGAGGTGAGGGAGTTGGAGAGCAAGGTGGGAATTAACACAAAAAGTTTAGAAGTTAGAGATGAACCTCAAACAGCAGGGGCTTCAGACTTTCTTCCCAGTCCTCTCATAGAACTCATCACCTTTGTCTCTAGGTCTGTTGACATAGAATTGTCCCAACCAATGTAGGCACTGTTCTGAGCTCTCAAAGCTGCCTCATGAGGACCACTCACATCCCCCAGAAAATCTCTGGTTAATCCTGCCCAACTCATCATAACCCCTTTACAATTTGATATTAATTTTTCCTTATGTTCATTTGAGATCAAACTCTCTGCTATGTATTTGGGTATTTATTTCCATTCATTTGTTCATGAGGGACTAGTAAAAGCCTTGTATAGAGAGTGGTCAATCTTTCCTTTGTGGTTCACTCTTCAGTTCCCGGGACAAGCTTAAGACCAAGGAAATAGTTGTGAGACTGTAGATACTCATCATGGTAAACAAGGGGTGAAAAATTGGTTCTGGACACTTGTTGAATCCTTCCTGTTACCTCTTGTCTACTCATCCAGCTGTCCACTTGCTCACTGTCACGGTAGAATAGGTGCAAGTCCAAGCACTGCTCATACTGATGCTGACGCTTGTCCCATAGGTCCAGCAGGGCAGCCCAGTTGTTGGCAAGCTTTGTCATCTTTGGAAAGGAAAAGACAATGTATCAGGAAGGTCTTTAATTAATTTATCTCAGTCTACTAAACAGGAAGTCTACTACTGAGCATCTAATAAATGCAAGATATTTTAAAGGATACAAAAATGAACAGTAGATGAACTTTTCTTATAGGTTCCAACAGCTAAGTGAATAAATGTAGCATAGAAAAAAATGGGATAAATACCATAAAAGAGGAACAGCACATTTAATATGCATAAATAAACAAGAAAAGATTAATTCTGATTAGAAGACCCAAAGAGTAGAAATATGGGAAGTATATTACTAAATGAATATTTAAAGGGTGGGGAGGAGAATCAGGATTGTAGGAGGACATAATGCCACAAATAAGTAATTATTCCAAGTAATTGTTGATTATACAAAGTACTCCAGAAAAAATAATGTGCCTTTAAAAAGTGGACATTTGATGAATTTCAAATTCATAGAGCACTTAAGTTATCAGACTGAGAAGTCTGCATCCTATTCTGAAAGCAAAGAAGAACCATCAAGGAAAGAGAAAAGTGACATTATCAAACCCATAAAAAAGCCCGTGTTTGCCCAAGCATCTACCCAAGGAAACTCCAGTTTATAACCACAGCTGCTGTGAACTCCACCAAAAGGGCAGCAAAAATTCTCAAAATCTAAGTGTAATAGGTAGGTTTTAAAAAATGTAGGGTTCTATCACCCCTTTGGTAGAAAATTGTGAATAATAAAAGCCATATTATAATGTTTCCATAGATTACTGGGGAAATTCAAGTTATGGTTATCTCAATGTCATCCATCACACAGCACAGGAGGCTGTGCTTAGAATGTAATGAAATGCAAAGAAGCCTACGGATATTATTTTAAGTATCACCCCAAAGAGTTCCTGGGACTTGGTGACTGGAGCAAAATCTCTCTGAGGGGTCAGGTAGTTGAGATGAGCCCCTGCAATCCAGGAAGTTAGGATGATGGCAAGCCTAGTTCTTTATTTAGTGGAATACTGAATGTTCAAAGCTTTTTGGTTAGTGTGAATTTGAAAAACACAGTAAAAGGAAAATCAGTTTGATTTGAAATTGTATTGAGGAGAAAAGAGAAAGTACATGTGCCAAGCACCTTGGGGAACCCAAAGATCAATGAGGTGCAGTCCTCACAGAATTCATAATCTAGAGATGATCATGGAAAAGTAACAAAACAGATTATATGTGACAAGGAAAAATGATATGAAGGCTTCAAATTAGGCTGTATGTACGTTGGTGAAATTAAATAGGTCTATGATACAAGGATTCAGTGGTAAGCACACATCTTGTCCTGGCAATTTCAAATTGCTCAATTTAGCTAAAGCAGTATGTGAAGGAAGCAACGTGAAAGTTGGCATCATATTACTAATATCTTTATATGATGTCATACTCTTCCCATTCAGAGATTATTATATTGTTATGAGATTAAGTGAGAGCTAAATATGCATCAAAATTTCACAAATCCTGGTCAACGAATTACCTTTTCCAAAATTTCATTGGAGGCTTCATGGTTGACATCCAGCAGGGCTTGACCAGTCTCATCAGCAGATTGGAATCGGTCATCATAAGAGTCAATCTCATGCTGTGGCCACAAGACACAATGTCTTACAATGCAGCAAGGAACTTTATGGCAGTCTTAGCACCTCCCCTTTCCTCCTCTTGAGGAGGCTCTTTCTCTTTACCTTATGCTGCTGATGCCTGTCCAGCAGGGCTTCCCCACCAGCCACATCTGTGGGCAGCTCGTCAGCGTTGATTAGTGCAGTCTTCTCTGTCATCCAGCCTGAGAGTTCATCATAGTCAGATAAGAAACGCTGGTACCTGTGGAAGAGGTAAAGTCAAGGCCAAGAAGGAGAAACCAGATGTAAATGGACTTTGTTGAGGGGTTAGGGTTGAGGCGAGCTAAAGGTGCAATATGCTCCTTGCCCTAATTCTACCCCTTCCCTTCCCCTGATGGGCTTTCTGTTCCTTTAATGGTTCAAGTTGTAAGTCCTTGACTCCAGGTCGTGTATGTCTTGGGTAGACATGTCATTATGTGATGAGGCACGTAGGCATGACATCTCGAACAGCACAAGGTCACCTACCCCAGAGGCACTTGAAGTATTCCCAATGAGGCCGATAAATAAGCACACAATATAGAAATAAAAATAAGCACCTTGTGAGAAGGGGGGACTAGAGTTAGGGTGAGGAGGCCTCATGTATCTGAGTTCACCCTTAACCCTATTAATAAAAACAACATTCACTAAAACAGTTCAAAAAAAATTAAATGCTCCCCATTTAATTTTAAATCATAACATTAAGATAAGCAGTCTTTTCTGGTGATTTAATGACTCATCATAAAATTAACTACTGAAATGATACCCATGTTTTTGACAAACCAACCCACATTCAGGAAATAATTCTAGATTTATTATTAATACTCTCATCAGATTGGAAATTTCTTTCAATTCCTTAGTTACAACCAGGATTTTGACATTTCTTTAGCTGCTTTCCCAGTTTCATGGGCCACTTCATAGCATCTTACAACTAAGCAAACAGAGGAAGAGGAGAGGTGTGCAGGTGAGCAGAGGTGTCAGGCTAAGTATTCGAGAGGCCTGCAAAAGACTTCTCTTGGCAACTGAACGCTCCTTCTGCCTCTACTGAGTGGGCAGGGAGTTTGAGTGTCTCGTTGTTTTACTGCTTTCGCTCTTTTATTTCTGTTTTGAGTATTATGCCTGAATTCTGTAGAGGCAAGTAGAATAATAGGAAGGAAGAATTCTCACCAAAAAGAAGCCTGCAGCTTTGCATATCTGCTGGTAGCCAAGGCACGGATGTGCTCCCAGTTGGAGACCAAGTCCTCTCTCATCTGCTGGATCTGAGGTGCGTCTGCAGGATGGGAAAGCTTCAGCTTGTCTGCTTTGGCACATAACTCCTTCACCTTTAGGATGAAAAAGACACCTAGTGGGAATCCCAAGAGCTCTGGGTTCTCCTGGAAGACTTATATTGGAGTGATGCAACTAAACAATCATATAAATCATAATAGTTTATTAATACATATTTATTGACATATTTATATTAATATGCTAATGAACTACGTTAATAATAATTTACTAAGCACTTTTTGTCTCTCCTGCTAAGCACTTCACATGTACTTTCTTGATTTATAGTCTTTATTTCATAAAACTATAAAGTACAAACTATTCCTGGTCCCTTTATGTGATAACTGAGATGTAAATACTTTATTTTATTTGCTAAAGATCACTCAGCTAGTAACTGACAGAAGCAAGGCTTAGACTTAACTCTGTTCTTCACCAGCCTGTATACTGTTTCCATAAATATGAGTGTGGGAATCGGAAAGACATTTCTGCTTAAGAGGACAAGAAATGCCAGTAATGCCAGCTCATTTTGAGCACAATTCCTGAGGAGCAGGGTTAGCAGGCAAAACTACAGATATGGGTGACTTTCCACATGTTGCCATTAGTCCTTTATTAAAACTAACTAAAATCAGGTATTGTCTAGGGCAGTGATCTTCAACCATGTGTCGCAGGGATTTTTAAAACATGCAATACCTGACTATTTAGTTAGGGGTACTGACCTCTTTTCCTTTAGATTGTCAAATAGAAAAATGACGATAGCCAACACAACAGCAGCCACCTGGTGTGACCGCCCTCTCTTGGGCCATAAATATATAGGTCATATAACAGAGCTGCATCTTATTGGTCATGTCACATAAAAAGGTTGTGTCTCATTGGCTAATTCTTGGTACCAGAACACCTTATGTACAAATATAGGCAACTAACTTTTTTTAAAAGTTACTTGGAGCAAAATACATCAAATGAAGGATATCCAATATTCAAATACAAGTTGTGAACTCAAATGTGGAAGCACAGAATTTGGACTTTATTGAAATAGTACACTTACTGTGTTCTCTGGAGGCAGGATGGTCAATAAATACCTCTTCTAGCTCAAGGGGGCAGCCACACTCCTCCAATAATGGCTTACCTTGTCATCCATGACTGCAAGGTTCCGCTCAAGTCCCTTGTGACTGTGAAACAGCGCCTCGGAGCTAACGAGGTCTTTGCCATAGTCCTCAGAGATGAGTTGGGGCTCCTTCTCCTTGATCCACTGGATGGCTTCAGTCACATCCCTGTCAGACATCCATATGAGCTCCAACAAAAGAAGACAGCAGGCATCCCAGAGCAAGCAGAGCCCACAGCAAGGTCCAACCTAATTTACCCAGCTAGATAAAGTACTCTATCTTCCTACGCTCCAGTAAAAAGTAATGTAAAGAGCTCTTGCTTTTAATGGTTTCCTTTGAGATGTAGAGACCTGCTCAACCTGACCACTGAGCTTCCAGAAAATTCTCATGTCATGGTCAACACTTCATGAATGTCTTTCTTCTTCTAAGCTCCATCTTCCTCCCCCATCCAATTCTCAATCTGCTTTCCTTGCTTTCCACAGCTTTAATCACTGATTCCTGGTGCTATTTTCATTGCTTTGGGCTCCAGCCACCACAAACTTGGCTATAGAGTGGGTTACAGTTCTCTTAACTGCCTAAATGTCTTAAAGGCAATCCATGGCTTTCTTTGCGGTATTGGCCACTAATTGCTAACCGCAGGACATGGTGCTAATGCAGTGCCTGGACTCATACCTTTTGAATCGCTGGAGGTCTGCAGCATTGGACAGTGTTTTCCGTCGCTGGAGAGCAAGGCCATGGAGACGCTCCCAGGCGGCATTCACCTCGTCCTGCTTTGACTTAATCAAAGGCAGTTCTGGGTGGTTCTCCTTTGAGAGGAAACAAATGCTGGAATTATGCAAAGGGGAAATTATTCCATCACTTAAACACTTCCCATTTCACACTGGCTCATACTTTGTCAGAAGTGAAGAATGAAAATAGAGCCAGATACTGAAATTCACATTAGCCAGACTCCCTAGCTCTAATCTGAACTACATTACAAAATCTAGAAAACTAACCTGCCAGATGTTGCATCTTTCCTCACAGCACTGGTCTAGCCTACTAACACAGTTGCCCAATCATGATGTTATTTTCAGAGCTCCACCTTGTTGATTCCAGCTACACCCCCCTGAACATCATTGATACAAAGAAAAAGAAGAAAAAATTCCCTTTGTGAAGCATGACTTAATTTTCTAAACTTAACACTGTAGTTCTTAAAACTTTTGGGGTCCTAACACCTTCAGAAATCAAATGAGAATAATCTTTCTCTCTCCAGAATTCTATACAAATTCACACATATTTAATTTTGCTGAAAATTAAAACTGGCTTCCCAGTTTTCTTGCATATTATTATATTTATTTACATACATTTTTGCAAATCATCTGAAGTGATGAGATTTATGAATACCATATGAATCAAGCAACATCAGCCTGTTTGGATACTTGGAAATTTTGAGTAGCTCCTCTATGGCCATCTCCCTAGTCCTCTTGTCCCTATCTCTTCCCATTTCCATTTCCATCCCAAAGGCTCTCCAGACAGAATTTTCCACATTCTTCTTTCTGAGTGTATGGTCCTCTTTATTGCAGTTGTGTGAGCCCCACTTCCGAAGAGCAGGGGATAAACTCTGTATTGGATTAGTCCTTAGAGGGGTAGATTAGAAAAAGTAGCCATGATATTTTGCCATGAGATCCTCCTTTCAAGAGACAGACTCTATTTCCTCACTCATTGGCTATGGATTGGCCTGTGAGTTGCTTACTAGCAGCATGTGGCAGAAATGATACTCTATTAGCTCCAGCATTTAGGCCTCAAGAGGCATTTCAGTGTCTGTTCTCACCTGTTGAAACACTGACACAAAAACACAGGGCTACTGAAATATGAGTCCATATAGAGAAAGCTTTCATTATCCTGCCAAGACCCCAGACACTGGGCCAAAGCCTTCTTAGATCTTCCACTTTAACTGAACCACAAAATAACTACCGCAACTTAAAAATACCAGGTGGGATGTGCAGAACTGCCCAGTTAAACAACTGAATCACTGAACTGTGAATCAGTGAATCTGACTTATTAAATCATGAAAAAAGTAATTTTAATTTTCAGCAAAATCATGTTTGCTGTTTTAAATTTTGTGGCAGTTGGTGATAGCAACAGATAAAAGTTTCCAAAACGAGAGAAATATGGTAAATTTAGGGACTGTTGGAAAGGTAGCCTTTGAAAAAATTTGAGAAATGGGTCATTTTTTATACTCCACTATTTATTCATCCTGAAATCTTGGTTCTATTAACTCAGAATAAATAATTGCCATTATAAAACTGTAGTGATAATAAAACCATAAATGGAAAAGCATAAGAACCAACTGTTAGAGTCTCTACTTTTTTATATACATATAAAATCATATTGGCTTCCCAATTTCCTTGCATATTGTTCTATTTATTTGCTCAGATATTGAAAACATACTTAAGCATTTTCTTAACTACAGTTAAATCTGCCTCCTTTCCCTCTGCCCCTGCATAGAAGTGATCTATAATGATATCATCCTATATAATAAAAGGCTAATATGCAAATCAACCAAATGGCAGGACTATCATTTGCAATGACATGCACTGACCACCAGGGGCAGATGCTCAATGCAGGAGCTGCCCCCTGGTGGTCAGTGCGCTCCCATACGGGGAGTGCCGCTCAGCTAGAAGCTGGGCTCATGGCTGGCAAGTGCAGCAGCGGTGGCATGAGCCTCTCCCACCTCTGCAGCAGTGCTAAGGGTGTCTGACTGCCGGCTTAGACCCTTGGGGAGCAGACCTAAACAGTCAGTCCAACATCCCCTAAGGTCTCCCGGACTGAGAGAAGGCACAGGCCAGGCTGAGGGACCCACTACCCCCTGAGTGCATGAATTTTGAGCCTCTAGTATCCTATATAATAAAAGAGAAACATTCAAATTAATGTCCCTCCACTACACTCACAAGCCACACCTACAAGCCAATGATGAGTGAGTATGCAAATTAACCCAACAAAGATGGTAGGTAATTTTCATACACAGAGCAGAGTGGGAGAGCTGGCAGCTTAGGGGTACGTGGCTCCCTCAGTCACTCCCTTGGTCACTCCCTTGGGGCGACATGGCTCTCTCAGTCGGGGAAAACCCAGAGCATGGGGAGCATCAGGAATTCTTGGAATAGTAGTTTTGGTGGCAGCCCCAGGACCGGAAGTGGAAGTCCAGAGCATGGGGAGCACCAGGAATGCTGGGAATCATAGTTCTGGTGGCAGACGGATCTCCTATACCAGGGGTGGGCAAACTTTTTGACTCGAGGGCCACAATGGGTTCTTAAACTGGACCGGAGGGCCGGAACAAAAGCATGGATGGAGTGTTTGTGTGAACTAATATAAATTCAAAGTAAACATCCTATCTAATAAAAGAGAAACATGGTAATTGGCATACGACCGCTACCCTTCCCATTGGCTAATCAGGGCGATATGCAAATTAACTGTCAGCCAAGATGGCGACCGGCAGCCAGGCAGCTTGATACTAACATGAGGCTTGCTTCCTTCAGTGACAAAGGAAACCAACATTCCCCGCCTGCCTTGCAGGCCTCCGAGCCTGCAGTTTGAAACATTTTAACAAATATAGAAGCTAAAAAAAAACCCAGAAACCAGCTTTCAGAGAGCTGGGATCTCAGAGCTGGAGTCAGAGCTGGAGTTATACATTGTTTCGAACCGAAACAAACCAGATACCTACTTTCAGCAGCGGAGGCCTAAGAGCTGGAGCCTCAGAGCTAAAGCTGGCCCAGAATTAAAAAGAAAAAAAGAAAAAAAGGAGCAGTTGGGAGCTTCCTTCACCCGCCAGCCTGAAAACAGCCCTCAGCCCCTCACCCAGACTGGCCAGGCACCCCAGTGGGGACCCTCACCCTGAAGGGTGTGTGACCAGCTGCAAACAGCCCTCAGCCCCTCACCCAGGCTGACCAGGCACCCCAGTGGGGATCCCCACCCTGATCCAGGACACCCTTCAGGGCAAACCAGCCAGCCCCACCCTTGCACTAGGCCTCTACCCTATATAGTAAAAGGGTAATATGCCTCCCGGCACCGGGATCAGCGTGACAAGGGGCAGCGCCCAAACCCCCTGATCTCCCTGCAGCTCTGTGTGTGACAGGGAGTGGGGCCACAACCTCCCTATCCGCCCTGCTCTGTTCGTGACAGGGAAAGGCGCCCCAACCTCCTGATCAGCCCTGCTCTGTGCCTGATACGGGGGAGCTCCCCAACTTCTGATCGCCCTGCGGCTCTGTGTGTGACAGGGTGCGGCGCCCCAACCCCCCCCCCCCCCCGGGCCCTGCTCTGTGTGTGACAGGGTATAGCCATAACCTCCCCATCAGCCCTTCCTTGAGTGTGTCAGTGGCGGTGTACCAACCCCTTGATCCTCCCTGCTCTGAGTGTGACAGGGGGTGGCACCCCAACTCCCCTATCGGCCCTACTCTCTGAGTGACAGGGGGGAGCTCCTCAACCCCCTGATGGGTCCTGCTCTGTGCATTACAGGGGGGAGCTCCCCAACCCCTTGATCGACACTGCTCCGTGCGTGACAGGGTAAGGAGCCCCAACCCCCCTGATGGGCCCTGATCTGTGTGTGACAGGGGGCAGCGCCCCAACCCCCAGATTGGCCCTGCTCTGTGCGTGACAGGGTGTGGCTCCGCAACCTCCCCATCGACCCTGCCTTGAGTGTGACGGGGCGGTGCCCCAACCCCCCAATCGGCCCCACCCTGAGCTTGACTGGGGGTGGCATCACAACCTCCGGATCCGCCCTGCTCTGTGCATGAAAGGGGGTGGCGCCCCCACCCCCCACCCCATGGGCCCTGCTCTGTGTGTGACAGGGTAGAGCCATAACCTCCCCATCGGCCCTGCCCTGAGTGTGAGAGTGGCAGCGCCCCAACCCCCTGATTGGCCCTGCTCTGTGCGTGACAGGGGGCAGTGCCCCAACCCCCTAATGGGCCCTGCTCTGTGCGTGACATGGGGTAGCGCCGCAACCTCCCCATCAACCCTGCCTTGAGTGTGACAGGGGACAGTGCCCCAACCCCCCAATCGGCCCTACCATGAGCGTGACTGAGGGTGGCATCACAACCTCCCAATCACCCTGCTCTGTGCAAGACAGGGGGCAGTGCCCCAACTTCCCTATCAGCCCTGCTCTGAGCCCAACCAGGGGCTGCACCTAGGGATTGGGCCTGCCCTCTGCCACCCAGGAGCAGGCCTAAGCCAGCAGGTCATTATCTCCTGAGGGGTCCCAGACTGCGAGAGGGCACAGGCCGGGCTGAGGGACCCCCCCTTCCCTCCGAGTGCACAAATTTTTGTGCACCGTGCCTCTAGTCATTACATAAAAGGGTACGGTCTTTTTTTTTTTTTTTTTTTAGTTTTATTCATTTCAAATGGGCCGGATCTGGCCCATGGGCCGTAGTTTGCCCACGGCTGTCCTAGACACTAGGGCAAAGTGAGCCTGGAGCAAGTTACTGTTGCGGTTTGGGATGGAGGGAAAGCAAAGGTGAGAGACAGCATAAGTAAAATCAGAGTGTCTAGGAAAAATTAAAGGGAAGATATCCTAAAACTTCCACAAAATCTCCACCAATGGAGCAAAGAAAAAAAATGCCTCTATTATTCTGTGAGCAACAAACCAAACTGGGTTGGGGGTCTCAGACAATTCGCTCATATGATTGCAAAGACAGACAGAAGCTCCCAGATTGGAGAGGGCTCCCCTGAGGGCTCCCAGATTGGAGAGGGTGCAGGTCAGGCTGAGGGTTCCCCTCCTCCCTCTAACCCCTCCCCCCCGTGCATGAATCTTTGTCCACCAGGTCCCTAGTATATTATAATAGCCCACCATTATTTTATATTTTTTGCTATTTTATTCTGATACTTCTTTATGAGGAAAGAATGCTGCATAAACATGAGTAATTAGTGTAGTGCACCATGCAGTAGCTACCTCATTGTATATTTCATTTCTCTGTATGCACTCCCTCACACCCCCTTTCCCAAGGACTGGCAAGGGATGGATCCAGAGAGGAGAAGAAATTGATTTGGGCATGTCATTCCAAGGACATGCATCTCCATTTTCCCACAATGCCCTATGTACCCCATGTCACACCTACTAATGACCACAAGTTCTTCTTGAAGATCAGGACCCTATTTCTGGGTTGACCCTTTTGCTGTCCACCTCACCTCAGCACACTTATTAGCGTATTCGTTCACTCCATCCACTCTCCCCTTCCGAGCTGCCAGGTCTACTTGGAACTCTTCAAACTTCTTATGCAGAACCTCTGTGCGTTCCCAGTCTTCACCCAGCTCTACGGATGTCACTATGGCCTCCTGTAGACACCGAAAAGTCTATTGAATCACCAGAAATCTTTAAGAATTCCTTTAGGTAAAATGCCTCAAATCCCTGCCTTCTTCCTAGGATAACTCAGGAGATACAAGTGGAGCCTGGGAGAACCACTTCTAGAAAGAGCCAGAAGCAGAAGCATATTTCCTAAGGTGGCATTCTGGCCCAGGGGACAGTGCTCTTTGGGCTAATACTTTAGAGCAATCAGGGGTATTGTTGGCCAGAGTCTGTGGAAGCACCGTTTATGTTTTGAATCATAAAATGTAAATTTAGAACATAAAAATAATTCGTCCTTGTCCTATTCAGCTCAACATACTTAATATCTACAAAGTCATTAATCTTTAAGTATTAAAAAAAAGAAACCTTCAAATTATAGGCACTGAGAGACAAGGGACTAGGGAAAGTTCTGGCAATACTGTCAGCCTAGACCTAGAGTCAGAGTGAAATTCTAGAAAAAGGAGTGAAATATCATGGAAGATAGAAGGGGACAAACCTAGATTATCTTCCAGTGCACATTTTTTTGTGCAGGTCGTGTCTTCTTCATAGTCAGAATCATAATTTAGACTTACCCTCTCCCTTACCGTGTTAACAATCTCCAGAATATCTCTAAATCTTGGCCCAAATGTCTCCTTCGTTCAAGGAACAAGTCCAGGAACAGACACTCTGCCTTTTTTACGAATAGCCTGTATTAAACTGCTTTGGGTGTTTGGGATAGAGCGTGGTGAGTCCTAAAGGCATACTGTTTAGCCTCATACCTTGTCTCCAATCCACTCCAGGATGTCGGCACACTCCTGTAAGTACTGCTGGAGCTTCAGGGCCTGCAGAAGGAAGGTGCCCTTCTCCTGAGTCAGCTCTATCAGCAAGTCCCACAGGCGGCGCAATTCCTCCAGATGGACCTTTGGGGAAAAGAGGCAAAACTACTGAGGCACAGAGGCTGTGGATCAGGTGCAGACTCAGAGACTTGTGCAGAGAGGGGCCTGGATAGAAATGTCTCCTCCCATTCACTTGTGCATTAATTGCTCAACAAATATTTTAAAGGGAAGATAGGATATATGTGGGAATAGCTATTAAATTAAGCCATATATTATCTTTCATAACAAAAATTTTTAGAAATGCTTTGGGGTGTCAGACTATAAAATGATTACAAACACTAAGATGGATAGAGCCAGAACCGGTTTGGCTCAGTGGATGGAGCGTCGGCTTGCGGACTGGGGGGTCCCGGGTTCGGTTCCAGTCGGGGGCATGTGCCAGGGTTGCGGGCACATCCCCAGTGGGACGTGTGCAGGAGGCAGCTGATGGATGTTTCTCTCTCATCGATGTTTCTAACTCTCTATCTCTCTCCCTTTCTCTCTGTAAAAAATCAATAAAATATATTTAAAAAAAAAAAAAGATGGATAGAGTCAAGGATTCATGAAAGAGTGCTCATCAGAACTGGGCTTTAAGAAACAGAACTTTGACAGATAGATAATAGGCAGAGGGTGTCCTAAGCAGTGGCAAAGTCACAGAAGAAACTTAGCATGAGCTGTTTGCCAGAAAATATCAGAACTACAATTTTGCTAGCTTACAAAAAATAAAATGAATGGCACCAAAGCAATAGAATTTTGAGAGCATATAGTTGAGGGCTTTGATGGCAGGTTAGCTGGGATATTATGTAATACATATCTTATGAAATTGAAGTTATCATCTTTGTCATGTCTTAAAGAATCTTGTATCTTACAATTACTCCATTGTTCAAGGTAGTAGTAGACCACATTTCTCTCTAAATCTAGCATGATACAATCTGACATAGCCCTAGTGGTTCTGATGGAAGTGAAGATGTTTTAAACATTTCTCAAACTTTTTAATTAATGTAGGAACTTAGCAGCAAAACTGCAATTAATAAAGAAATGATTTCTATTTTATATCAATAAATACCTTTTGAAATTGTCTTATTACCAATTCTTTCCTAATAAAGTTATATTCCGTATCACCTGACTATATTTTGTTGACAGTAAAATGGGGTCGAATTTGCTAAATATGGGAAGACAAGTTCCAATTTTTAAATATGTGACACAAATGTATTAACAATTTTAAAAGGACACAAACAGTACAAACTCCACTTACAGGAAAAAGGTCCTGAATGGACTATATGATCTATGTTGGAACAGTACACAGATTAAATTAGAAAAGAGCTGATGCATTCATTAATGGTGGGTTCCAAAATGGTGTGATCTTCAGTGTTCAGTGTGCAAGAAGAATTTCCTGAAGAAAGGGGTTTGTAGGATTTTTTTCAAAGTGATCAGGAGGGTTTGGGGGTCTACAGTAGTGATCATACCGTGTAGGCTGTGAAGAGAACGAGTTATTATGGACAAAGGGCTAAAGATTTCAGAGAAGATTTTAAGGGAGAGCATCCCTTGTTCGAAAAGTTTAAGGGACAAGGACTCTGAGGTCTGAAGAAATAATTGGGATATTTGCGAAAGCCATTTCATCTGGGAAATGTGGAACCAGATTGAAGTGGGCTTGATCTTGAGTCCATTTATTCTGCAGTGGCTTAAGGAGGGATGGGGTGCCATCAATGACAGCTTTCGGATCATAGCTCTTCTCCCCACCCCCAGGAACACAAGGACAGCCCATCGCTTTTCTTACCCCAACCCCAGTAGAAGATAAGAGACAGACGCCTTAATTCCAAGCCAGCTGCATGAAAGCTCGTATTCGGCATAATCAATTAAAGCCCCGATGAAGTAGTCAACAATTAGAAGCTTATCTTTGAGAGCCCTCCCACATCTTTACCTTGGTGTCCTCGTGGGCAAAATGCCCCTCAGCAAATCGGACTTTCCTGGTTTCCTCCAGCTCAGGAATGACCCTCGATTTTGCTTGTACCTCTGATGCAAAGGACTCATGCTTCTGATACTTCCCCTGAAGTTGAGAAATCACAGCTTATAGTTAAGGAAGCCCCGTCTCCCTGGACCACAAAGAGGTCCCTCTGTCCCTCTTCTTACTTTCAGCAGAACTACTCGTTCCCCAATCTAGATTAAGTGACAACCTATGACCATAGCTGGAGCAGTCACGCCCTAAAGCGGCGGTTCTCAACCTGTGGGTCACGACCCCTTTGAGGGTCGAAGGACCCTTTCACAGGGGTCGCCTAAGACCATCAGAAAACACATATATTACTACATATTGTTTGTGTGATTAATCACTATGCTTTAATTATGTTCAGTTTGTAACAATGAAAATACATCCTGCATATCAGATATTTACATTACGATTCATAACAGTAGCAAAATTACAGTTCTGAAGTAGCAACGAAAATAATTTTATGGCTGGGGTTCACCACAACATGAGGAACTGTATTAAAGGGTCGCGGCATTAGGAAGGTTGAGAACCACTGCAAAGGAAATGGGACCTCTCATTTGGACTTGACAAGGGGTATGACTAGTATTTTGTAGAAAAACCAGGAAAACTCTGGTTAACTCGTTCTTCCCGAGGAGAGTGGAAATCAGTTGTTTCAGAAGCATTGACGTCTCTTCACTCAATTCCATCCTTAAGGACACAAAATATTAAAATCACACAAATAAAATGCTTAGACTTTCAGCTACGGTTTTGCCCATAGTTTATATTTGTAGAATGTTATCTAGAATGACACTCCTTTGTAAAGAAGGTACTGAGGCTTAAAAAGTTGAAGGCATGGGCTACTTACAGGCAAAATTACTGCCCCTCACAGATAGTCTAATCTTTCTATTACATCCTCGTCCTGCAGTTAACCAAATACACACTTATTACAAGAATATTTCCTTTTCTAGGGATCTTGTGGTCTGTTCTGGGGAAGTTCGTGGGACTGAGTGACCTGTATGTTAGTTGGGTCTTCATAGCTCTTATCTCCTGCGATCTTGAGTTTCTCCAAGATCCACTTCTCCAGGTCATCCGCATCCCGTCTGAAAACCTGGTAGTGGTAGGACTCTTCAAGCTTCTGGCCCCTCTCAGCAACCAGGTCCTTGAACCTCGCGTACCGGGCCAACACCTCCTGGCGCCGCTCCTGGATCTCCTCGGCTGTTTCCAGCACCTTGGGCCCACCGCTCTCCATAGCCTGCAAGTTAGAAAGCTCTGTCCATTGCTGGCTCTCAAGTTCCTAGTATGCTGTCACTCTTATGTGTCCCAAGGCATTTGCTTAATGTTCAAATTTACTTACAGTCATGTATCTTTAAGCCTGTACTAGTAAAAAGCCTGTTGTTAGTACATTTATATAATTTTAACCATATATGGCTAAGACTAGGCTAAGAACTCTTGATCAGCCAGAACACTTTGCCAACTTTTCACATAAACCTGTGCCATTTATTGAGTTATATAAATAGAATTAATTTGGACTAATAATAAATGTTATGTTTAAGTTAGCAAAGTGACTGTTTCAAATGGATAAAAATATAATTTTATTGTTTTCAAAGGCTAATAAGGTTGACAAGTCCTAGTCATTCTGAACTCAATGTAATGAATGATTAAAAATGGCTAGCAATTAACTTTACTAATGATATACACAAAAGTTTTAAAATGTCTTCTTCTTACTTAAAAATGTAGCTCATACATCCTTTACTCTTTTTATTTGCTTAATTCATAAGCACTACAAATTGCAAGTTCAGCCCTTCTTCTCTCCAATTTTTACAAATGTCAAATTATTAGTATCTTTGGAATTAGCTTTTGAAATATAAAACATTGTCCTCTCACGCAACATAAAATATTACCTTTCTGTAGTGGGAGCTAACTAATTTGTGATGATATCTTACAAGTTTCCATGGAGTCCATCTTCATTCATCTGGATAAAGGTACAGTCTCCCCTACTTTATCTCAGCCAGAACATTCAATTTAAAGTTCAAATTTCCGTCTCTTTCTTTCTAAATATAATTACTACCCTGTGGGTATCCTTTACTAGTCTGGCTAGAGAATCAAATCATTCTATGGAAACCTAAATCAGTATTGTGTGTTATTTTGTCCCAAGTGACTTAGTCGTTCTCTCTGGGAGCCATGGAAGCAGTTCATGCTGGATTTTAGGGCTGTATAGCCACAAGTTCAAGGTAACTGTTCAAAGTGAGACATTCACACACAAAAAAAGAGAATTAGAATTTAACTTTTCTACTTCCTAAGAGTCAAGGACAATTTTTAAACCTCCTGTCAAGGACAGCGCAGAACGTTCAAAGGAGATAGTTTTTCTCATTCCACTAGGGACAAACTGCACTGTGAAGAATTCTGGCCCCGGTCAGCATGGCTCAGTGCTTGCACGTGGACCTATGAACCAGGAGGTCACAGTTTGATTCCCGGTCAGGCACAGGCCCGGGTTGCGGGCTCATCCCCAGTGTGGGGTGTGCAGGAGGCATTCTCTCTCCCCGGTGATGTTTCAATCTTTCTCTCCCTCTCCCTTCCTCTCTGAAATCTATAAAAATATATTTAAAAAGAAAAGAACAGAATTCTTTACTCACCGTTTCCTTGGGAGAGTGTTCTAGTTTTCCTAAAGGTCTAGAAACTGGGAAGATAAAATGTATCCAAAGGAGAGAGGCAAAGAGGGAGAGAAAGACAGAAAATTCACATGGAATTGTCTAGTCTGATTCAGATAGTGACTAGAGAAACGTTACATATGTGTCAGAGAAAGAAAAAAAACACCTTTTTCTCAGGCTCAGAATCCCGCCAGCTACCACCTCCTTATCTTAGGAGACAGAGGCAGCTTGAGGCAGCTGCAAACTTTCACAGATGCCCAGTGACTCAGCAGTTTTGGGGGGGGATAGTGGCTCTTAAAGCTTCTCAGTAAGACTTCATAAAAAATAAAAGCAAGGTTTTTAGAGGAAAATTTAGGGGAAAACACACAGTTACAGATGTAAGATAAAGAGGCTGTGTTAAGATTGTATTTTGTTCCTTTAATTAGTTTCAGAGTTTAGGTCTGAGAACCATAAATTAAGGAAATAATTTCATGTTGCCCATTCTTCAGACTCTGTGCAGAATTACAAGAACTCAGGGCATACAGAGGTTCCTGTTCCAACCGGTCCCTGGGAAACACAACTCAATAACTTTGTCCAGACCCCACTGCAGACTTCTAACAGCCTTTAATTCAGCAAGGTATCCCAATTCTTGCTGTAGAACCGTTGCCTAAATAGAAAGAAAATTTTATTGCTGGCCTCACAGATTGGGTTGTAAAAATCTGATTTGGCTCCAAAGGAAGTAAGATGTGTGTGTCTATTTGTAATTCATGAAGCAAAATTTAAGATACCTCGTTTGACAAATGAATGGCGTCACAAAGCATTTGAAAATGGGTCAGTGATCTAAAATGTGAGATAAAGTCATCCTATTTTCAGTTTAAAGGCATTTTATTTTTAATGGAGAGAAAAGGAAGCAGAAATTCTTTCTCAAAGGCATAGTTTTTTTTGTTTTTGTTTTTTTAAGGCAACTTTACAAAAATGAAGCAAACAAAAGGAAGACAGTGGAATGGTTTCAGATCCTCCTATGAAGCAGTGGTGTTGCCAATGGGAAAGGGGTTCTTTTAGAGTCACAAGGAAAGCATTCTGGGAGACCAGGTCTGGGAGGATGTGGTTTATTGAAGAAGGTGGAGCAAACACAAAGGACTGTCCTGGATGCAGCTCTGGTGTCTCATTTCCATCCATCCATTCCGCCGTGGAAAAAGTCCAGCCTTGTCTCTATTAAGCCCAGAAATAGGGCCGATGTCCAGAGGGTCTGTGCCATTTGCTCATCCACATCTGTCCCCGTGAGGCAAACAAATGGGAACAGACATTGATCGACCGCCTCCTGCACGAGCCCACAACCCAGGCCTGTGCCCGAACCAGCAGCCTCTTGGTGGATGGGATGACCCTCAACCAACTGAGCCACACCGGCCGGGCCTGCTGCTTTTTCAAACGAAGTAATCAATTTCCCATCTTTTTGGGCTTTGCCGGTTCCTACCCCTAACCGATCCATTTCCCAGGTCTTCCAGAGTTCTGTGTCCTTTGTCCAATCTGATCCTTCACCCAGCCTATGCACACAGACATTTATAGTCACCATCTTGGTTTCTTCTGTGCATGTCTCATGGTAGAAGCACCTTCCCCAAGGCCATCTTGGCTTTTAGTGGGCATGCTCCTAGCAGAGGAATTTCTCCTGCTATTTTTACTCCTTCCCCCATAGTCTGGAGGCATGGACTGTTTGTACTCTGGGAAGATTGAAGAAAGGCCCCTCCTCCCTAAGGGATGGGAGCACTGAAGGATGCTCATCCCTTGCTCTGATGCCCTGGGGTACCTTTGAGTGCTGCAACTTCCTAGCAAGCCGGCTTATGCTTCCTGTTTGCTTATCTGAATGTCTGATTCTCTTTGCTCCTTTCCTTTATTGATATCTAGCTACCTATGTCAACAATGGCATTATTCATGCCAAACTTCATTCTAGTATAAATCCAACTTAAATAATCGAACTTTCATGATCTACTAGATCAGTGGTTCTCAAACTGTGGGTCGCGACCCCTTTGGGAGTCGAACGACCCTTTCTCAGGGGTCGCCTAAGACCATCGGAAAACACATATATAATTACATATGGTTTTTGTGATTAATCACCATGCTTTAATTATGTTCAATTTGTAACAATGAAATTGGGGGTCACCACAACATGAGGAACTGTATTAAAGGGTCGCGGCATTAGGAAGGTTGAGAACCACTGTACTAGATTGAATCAAGGTTCTACATTTCCAGTTTTCCCTGTTCCTGGATTATGTCACCCAAAGAAACAAAGCGAGCTTAAATTCTCTTCTTGAAAGTCTAGTACTGCTTTACTTTTCCATATACTTTCATTATATTCAAATCAAATTTGAGTACTAAAGGCAGGGACATAAATCTTTTATAAAAAATGCATTATATCACATACACCAAAGAAACTCTGACTGCAGTTGAGGTGGAGAGGGAACATTTTTGTATCTTTACTCAAGAGATAAGATGGACCACCTTCAATTAGAATCTATCAAATCTTAATTTACATGTCAATATGATTACTTTACATTATTTTCTCATCTTTAGAAGATTTTGCAAAACAGGTATTCTAGACCCCATTTTTATGTGAGAAATCAGAGAGAGTCCCTGAGAGGTAAGCTCCTCCCATGGTTATCTGGTTTGTATGTTTTTAAACAGAGCCGAATCCGTGTGAGTATGTCCATCATGTCACGGTGCTCCGCATCTGTGTTGGTCTACCTTCTCCCAGTCCATCAACATTGTTGAGTTCCTATTCCAGGACTTTCTCACCAAGAATGCCAACCATGTGATAACCTGTGGCCAAACAAATAATGGGAAACCATCAGCAGGCTTGGCCATCGGGAAATCAAATAAATGTGGATAAGAACAATAGTCTTTAAAGCGTGTAGCAAGGTGGTTATGCACAGGAGACACTCAGGAAAGAGGTTTCATACTGATGAAGAAATGTTTGTTCTTTGAATTTTTAGTCACTACAAAAAAAAAAAAAAAAAAAAAAAGAGGCCCTAATCATTTTGGCTCAGTGGATAGAGCTTCGGCCCGTGGACTGAAGGGTCCCAGGTTCGATTCCAGTCAAGAGCATCTACCTTGGTGCGGACTCTGTCCCCAGAATGGGGCATGCAGGAAGCAGCTGATTGATGTTTCTCTCTCATCGATGTTTCTAATTCTCTATCACGCTCCTTTCCTCTCTGCAAAATAAAAAATAAAAAAAGAAACGGGTGAAATTAAAATTTTAAAAATGCATGGTAAAAGTTTCTCTGACAGCCCTCTGGCTGTTAGTTTGGCACCGGACCGGCTGACTTTAAATTTAGTCCCACCCTAGCTTCCAAAAGGCTGACAAAGTCTTGCCATTCTCTGGGCATTAATCACCATTATTAGTATATCATGGTGCAGCCTTGGGATTTATGGAAGGGCATGTGATGAGAAAATCTTCAACCCTTCAACTCTTAACATTTGGACCTCTGACCTCTTGCCACTTTTATGGTTTTCTGAGAATGCCTATTGGCTCTGATGACATAGAGACCCTGGTTAGAAAAGCTCAGGTAAAGAATGCAGGACAGATACTGTGGACATTTAGATTCATGTCCGTCTTTAAAACTGCATGTTGTTGCACTGTGCATACATGAGTGCTGAGAGGTACAGAGGGAGCTTGAGTTCACCATGGACGTTTCCCTAAAGCAGTGATTCCCAAAGTGGGCGCTACCGCCCCCTGCTGGGCGCTGCAGCGATCCAGGGGGGCTGTGATGGCCACAGGTGCATTTGTTTTAACTTTTTTTGTATTGCCTTTCTATTCTGAGTTCAATAGTTTCATAATTTCAAACTTCAATGTTTCTAATTTACACCTTTCTTTACTATATTTTACGAAAAAGGTAGAAACATTAATACATATATCTTTCTGTTTAATTGCTATTAAAATTTTAAAAAATTAATTTCCAGGGGGCGCTGAGTAATATTTTTTCTGGAAAGGGGGCGGTAGGACAAATAAGTTTGGGAACCACTGCCCTAAAGAGACGTCTTCAATGCAAAGTGGGAGCGATTCGGAGGGCTGTTTTATTTGGTCATGGCTATCAGCCCTGAGCAGACACATTCTTCACACACTGGTTTAATCTGCCCTGCCCAGCTGGCCTGAACACTGCTCAGTTATCAGATCCTGGGCTCCGTAACGCCGAGAGATGCTTTATATACACAATTTCTGAAGCCTTCTCAACTTGCATCACTAAAATTCATATGTTTATTGTAGATTTTTTGGAGGCCAACTTTCTCAACTTATTTACCAACAGGAAAAAATGTGTTAATTTTAATGTAAAACACTTTTATTTTTTTAGAGGTCATCATTATGTTATTATGTTTTAAAAATAAGTTTTGTTTCTTCAGAATTGGTTCTCATTTAAAAATGTCTCCAATTTTTGGTTCCTAAATGGATTAGAATATTAGACAATATTACTCAGAAAAGTAAATAAAAATATTTTTTGCAGTTTATTGTCTCCACATCAACTCTTATTGCTTCAGGTCCTCTAAAGATATTTATCTCTTAACTCTATTTGAAAAATCATATATTATTCAATTTTGCAATTCTATAATAAAAATAGAACTCCTGTTTCCCCATATTATTATCTTCTCTCACTCTACCTTTTTTATTTTATTATTTTCTGTTTTATTTATTTGGTATTAGGACAATGAATAAGAAAACCCATTATATTTTTACAATGAATTATGTAATCTATAATAATAAAAGCATAATATGCTGGAGCTGTGAGGGAAGCCCAGATCCCAGGTGCCAGAGAGAAGCCAGTGCCAGCAGCCGGGGGAAGGAAGGCCTCCTCATGCACGAATTTCATGCATTGGGCCTCTAGTTAAAATATAAAGGAAGCTTGGGATAATGGAAAGTATACTGCTTTTGAAAAAGAAGCATGTAATTTGAGGACTTAATTCCACCATTTAATAATCAAATGATCATTAGAAATTTGCTTAAATGTTATTAAGTATATACTGGGAATAGTAATGACTAATTTATCTATTCCATCCCTGGCTGGTGTGTTCAGTGGTTGGAGTGTTAGCCCAGGCCCCTATCTGGGTGCAAGTGGGAGGCCACCAATAGATACATCTCTCTCACATCAATATTTCTCTCTCTTATTCTCCCTCCCTCTCTCTCTCCC